TGCATTAAGGTTATTAAGTGTTATCACTGTCATTGTTCCCAGCCACTATCATCACTAGGATTGTTAGGGAGCTTGGAAGGACACTATTGCTGAGGTACAGTAGGAGAATGTTTCACCATGTTTTAATAAACGCTTTAACTCGGCTAACATCTGATCATTTATTCTCTCTCTGGCTGCTATACATTTCCTTTTAATTTGTCAGTAGAATTTGGTGTTAGATCAAGAAAAACAACTTTTACGTGATTAGCTTAAGTTTTCACACTACCTGTTTGTTAGATAGTGTATGGATATTATAGGGAAAAGTTATCTCTAAATTATTTCTGGAAGTAAAAGGGTTAAGTGATCAAAGAACATGTAGAGTAACCTGATAACTAAACTAGACTATTAACCCTTAAACTCCTAGATGTGATTAACATGTAACTTTTCCCTATAATTTCTAAACACTTTCCAGGAAAACAAATAATAGGAATATTCGAACCTATTAGGTTAAAGTTGTCATCCTGTTTGAGCACCAAAGTCTTGTAACTAGTTTACAGGGAAATGTGTAGCAGCCAGAGGGGAGAATTAACAATTAGATCAATGAAGTGACAGCACATAAATTTTATCACTCACTGCTTGATGAATATCCTTCTTGATCTCCTTACTAATCTTCCCTTCAAGCACAAATGAATCTCCAAACTTTTCAGCCTGGCATTTATAAGAGAATGCAGAAAAAGGAGCAAGCCATTAGATCAGAATTTTGTCACAACAGAAAGGAGAGTAAACCAACTTATAATATAAAGAAGTGAACACTACCAAAGGGTTCATTAAATCTGGCAGAACCTTTGTTCTGTTTGCAACTTTTTCAGGCAAAGTCATGGGCTTTCATGCAATGTGAAATTTTTTTCCATGGTTGGTGCAAAACCCTCTTTCATTTCTACATCAAGTGTAATGCATTGATTCCATCCTCACCTCCCAGGAGGAATTACTGAGGCTGTTACAAAATCAACACATGTACACATTACATGATATTTGACAGAGCAATTACTTATAGGATATTTCAGCTTTCATCACTCAGCAAAAGACAGGATTCAATCAATTCTGGCATATTTAACTGCAAATTCAGATTCTAGCACCCTAAAAAAAAAAGAATTGGACACATTCTGATTCCACAGCAGTTCTTTAATCAGGTTCTTTTAATTTTTGAGAGACAATGGGGGTGGAAGGTGGAAGGGATAAGGAGCTGAAACATGAATTCCTATCTGCATGCATCACACCCTCAGCATTAAAGTAATGTCTTTACCTCTGTGACATAACCAGTGTTGTTGACAAATAGTTCAAATTCTGCATTACTTGTTTCATAAATGTCCATATAAAATGAATTTATTTTCACTTCTCTCGCCGGCCCTTCACCGTCCATTGGCAGAAATGGTTTGTTGGTACCCATGGCAAATTTACCTGCCTTGATTAAAACCATTTGATTCGTTCTTTGATAAGACGATTTCAAGTTGTCACTGTTCTCTATGTTTTCTTTCTGCGGTGTTAGTCCTTCGTCAATGGAAGCTTTATCTCGTTTGAGAATAGAACATCCACATGTTGTCTTTCCTTCGTTCGAAGAAATAATCTTAGCTCTGGAGTAAAACGAACTTAAACTGTAACCAAAACTTGAACAAGTTTCTTGACTACTAAATACCATTTGCACCACAATTTGTAGCCATATCAAAGCTTCTGTCCACATGATGTTCTGACGGGTCGAAACGAAAAAGTGAAAAAAAAATACGAAAATGGTTCAACTTTGTTCAATTTGTTATTCAGAACATAAACATTTTGTTTTGGTCACATGCTTCTAGAGAAGCCTCAACGCTTGGTAACCGTAAATATTTCCGAGCCGTCAGTTTGATTAAAAGCGGTATACTTTAACAGAAAACAAAATGGCGGCCAAAGTTGATGTAAGTTGAGTTACTATTATCGAGGGTTAGATCTTAGTCAAATTAAATGTTTTAAACCTCTTTTATTTTTTAAACAGGGTCTGAGAAATGCAATCGATCAAGCGACCCAGGCTGGGGAGGAATTTAGTAATGTCTACTACGAGACTTTGGACAAACGACGCCACGTGAGTTCTTCGTTAGTCAGTTCTACGACTTACCAAATGCTTCGGTATTCGTTCCGGAAAAATTTCCGCACAGCCCCATACTTAATTATGCATGTACATCTTACTGGTGATACACTGAAAAATAAAGCCCCATATATGGATGTATAATGATGTATGGGGCTGTGCGGAAATTTTGCCTTCGTTCCCTAAATCCGTTGATGGGAGACTCGATTATGTCGTAATCTTCCCGGTTTATTTTGTTTTTGCAGCTCATGTCGAAACTGTACTCAGAGAATACTACAATCGTCTGGAATGGAAATGTAGTTAAAGGTGGAAGTGCTAAGGTGACGGATTTTTTCAACAACCTTCCAGCTACGGAACACACGCTCCATTCACTGGATTGTCAACCAGTTTCAGGTACTAAGAGTGTTAAAACTGCAGATTATGGAGGCACTCGTTAAGATCTTATTCATCAAAATTATTTCAGTTCTACGTACCATGTTATTCCATCATTATTTCTGTCAGCAATAGTTTGAATCCGGGGTTAACATGTCATCTTGAAGTGTGATCGTCCGGTGAGTGAAGTCCTGATAAGGACCGTTGTCTGTAGTTGTGGCTGATGTTTCAATAACCTGAGCGGAAGTCATCATCAACTGATGACTGACTGATGATCTGGTGATGATTTCCCCTCGGTTTGTCAAAACGTCAGTCACCACCAGCGACAACAGTCCTTCCCAGGACTGCTCTCGCCTGGACAATCAGACAACGCAATTTCCATAATAATTCTTAAAATTTTCCAACAAATTATGGCCCTGCACTCTGTGGTTAACTGATTGAACCTTTAAACCCCTTAGATTGAATGACTAGTATCCCCTGAATCAATAAGCTATGAGAATAAAGGGTATGATTGCCAACTGAAGAGACTTTGGTTGTTACCAAAAATACAGAATGAGTGATTTAAGGTTGTAAAGGGTTAATGGTAAAGTAAGAATGGTCTGAAGCCATCCAAAAACAAATTCTTATTCCATTTGTTTGCTGTTGGACTATACTTTGATTAAATGACCTTGAATTGGTGATGCAAAGCAATTCTCTAAAAGGTTAGATATTTTTAGTCCTTCCTCTCATGGCTTTTAGCTGAGTGGATAAAACCCTTCACTGAAGAATTTAAAAGGTGCAAATTCAACATCAGTTTTGAAATGTGCTTCACAACATGAATCAGAGAAACAAGTTAAATTCTAACTTAAAGATAATGGTCAGAGTTAGGAACACCAATTGAGGGGAAACAAATGATTTGAACACTTCCAGTTGTGGCCCTGGGGCTCAAAGCAGGTACCAGTACCTCAGCTTGCAATTCCAGGGCCCTCTCTACAAACCCTTTTTCACCATGCCTATGATTTACTTGTGTTTCTTTCTACAATCAGATCAAGCCATCCCTGGGCAAACAACAGTTCTAGTTGTGGTTGAGGGATTGGTTAAGTATGATGGGCACAAGATACATCGGTTTTCTCAAAACTTTCTGTTGACTGCTGAGGGAGGAACTGTGTGGAAAGTGGCTAGTGACTGCTTCAGATTTATCCAGTGAAGGACTTGGTGGAATTCAACAACATTCTATTGAAGTTGTGCCAATATTTATTTGAATCATTGGTTTGACTGAGGCATGTACACTCTGTATAATGGTGTGCTGCATGTGGCCCCAATGCAAGAGATGAGATGTGAAATACATATACTCAAATAAAATGTCTGGGGAGTGGACTGCCACAAGTTGTCACTGCCCTCCATGCAGTAGACAGTAACACAAACCATCAAGATGTGGAGTGTGTGATCTTGTGCAAGAGATACAAAAAAACTAAACTTTCCATGCACAAAGCTGAATCACTGCTGAATAGAAAGAACCAATTGACAACTTTTTAATTTTTTAGACAAAGTCTTAAAAATTAAGGTGCCTCAATCAGAATGTACCATGAGACATATTTCTCTTTTCAAGTACATTACTCAATGATAAATCCATAACTTTAAATGCTTTTCTTCTTCCAGAGTTAATACAAATGATTAACAAATTGGTCATTTTTAATACAATTATGTTCTATGCATGTCCGATGCCCAAGAACGTACTCTATGTAGGTGAAATATTTCTTCTCTCATTTAAACTGGTACCAGCTATTCCCATGTAAGATATTGACAGAAGTAAAAAAAAAAAAAACTACAAAAATTTTAACTTAATGCTGATGTAGTTCACTTGGAATAGCAAAGAGTGGCAATATTTTTGAAGAGCTTTACTTGTTCAGTAACTCCTGTGTTAACATTACTTATGAGGAGGCTGACTAGGAAAAGGAAGCTCTTGGAAATCTTTATCATCTAAAAGAAGCCTAAACTTAAACCTGATACTTGCACAATCTTGGTGCAATGTTCCAGACAAATTAGCTACAGCTTATGGAAGCACTGACACTGTAAACTGTTTGAGCTCACAATCAAGATGATAAAGAAAAATTTGATAAGCTACGAATGGCTAAGTATTGGAAAGAACACACTTATATATGACTCTCGTCTACATTGTGCTTTTTCAATCATCTCCACTGACTAAGACCTTGAACACATGCTGGACTGTGAACCACAGCAATTGTACACAGTGTGTGTTTGCTGTTTTTGTATGAAAATATATATAGTGCTTCAAATACATGCAATGAGAAAATGGAAGAGGTGCTTGAATTTAAGCCTGAATGGCTTTTGATGCAACATCAAATTCCCCTTGTGTTTTAACAATAAATACGAGTTTTTTAGCATAGAATTTAGAAGTCTATCGGTCGCAACATAACTTTACTCCATGCACCTCTCCAATTCATAAGAGTTTGACAACAGTGACCACCAGATCTTGAAAATGCATAAGAAATTTATTAACACATGCATTCTAAGAAGATCATGATACTACAACTCTGAGCAAACAGGGTAGTTAATAAAAACTACACAGCAATTTATTGATCTTAAGTGTTTGACTGTCTCAGTTAGCCTGCCAAACACAATTTGCAAAATTGATGAATTATGCTGCAAATTTAGTAGCCAAAATGTTCTTCTAGTCACCAAGGCCACCAAAATGGTCGCAGCTTTGAGCACTCTACAGTTTTCTATCTATGTCTTCTCCACTTGTACCAATTCGAAAAGAAATCAGAAATAAACCATTCTCATCCTCAAGCAACAAATAAAAGACAGCCTTTTTCTTCAGTTCTAAATGGCACAGAGTACATCAGTACAAAGATATGAAATTTTTCCCAGTGTCAGATGATGCATGCAAGGACTGCACGATTATCCATGCAGTCTAACTGTCCCATTTTTTATATTCCATTCCATCTGGAGGTTTACAATCCACATGCCCTTTTTTGACTTCATCCCAGTTGGTACTCAAAACTGTTCCACCAGATTCAACAAACGACTTGTTCATTGCTTTCCGCACTTCCTCACTACCATCACCATAAATTTGTTGGAATAGCTGATTTAAAGCAGCTTCACCTTCAAGTTTTTCCTCTTTCTCCTCCTTGGCAATCTCTGCTGCAACTTTATCCCAATCTTTTCCAACATGCCGTGAAGTGGGATATTTATGCACTGCATCACCAGGGTCTTTTGTTTCATCTGCAATAGACAAAGTACATGTACTTTACATCGTCAATGTCCACAGGAAACATAAAAGAAGTTATTATTCCAATAACTTGCTTTAAACTTTGCAAGCAAACTATTGCCACTTTGGGAATGTTAGCTCTTTCCCCCTTAATATCAGTATGCATATTCTCCATACTGTTTTCTGTACATTTACTAAGGTGCTGACATGGAGAATTTGTCTAACTCTCAAGAGTTTCTTTAGTTGATCATTTAGTTTATTCTCATTACATTAAGGTGTGATTCAGTAGTGATATTGTGAGGAGAAATTAGATGCTTGTCACTCATTGGGGTTAAAGGGTTAAAAAGTCATGGTCATGCTGAAAAAAACCCAAGAACAATCCCAGCTAGAGGTAAAAAGTGATGGGAGACTGGTTCTGCTGCCTGGTATTTATTTTGTATTGTGTTCATGGTACAATACAATACACACAATGTAAACTATAAGTCCCTTCTTTTTGGCAAAGTCTGTCATGCTTGTCGAAAAAAATCAGTGAGAAAAAAAAAAAAAAAAGATGTGTGAGTACTTTAGGGAGTTCTTGGAGTGACTTCAATGCCCCACAAGAGAGGAGCTCCATGAGTGAGGCACTCAAAAAACCTCCTTTTTGAGCTGTGACAAATGCCACTGAGTTACATGTACCTTCAATGTGCAAAACGTTGATAGATGGTAAAGGTAAAGTTACTAAGGTTAAGCTCCACAACCTAAATGTATACAAGTCAGTGTTGCACATACTTTTTGTTGGAAATGGTTTGCAGACAGTTTCTTCAGTAGCCTCAAGAGATGACCATCTCATTCCCTCAGTTTTTTTCATCTTTAGTTCAACCTGTAGGGCAGTTCAAGCATCTTAAAAATAAAAAATTTCCTGGATGTCCCCCCTGCATTCCCTTCCATGGACCTAATTACTTAGAGTGGCAGCAAATTAATACTCAACCCACTCGCAATAATCCTGAATTCCTCAAAATTTTGAATGTCAATCAGCCTTTTTTCAGGATTTGATCAACTTCTGTGCTGTTTTACATATCCAAATATTTAAAACAAACTTTAGAACAAGTATGTACTGTAAGTGTACATGGTCACCGATTAACTGTGTTGAAAATTTTAAGCAAAGTTTTTTTTTTTTTAAACACTAGTCTTTGCAAACAGTGACAATCCCACTGTGCTGATGGTATGTCTTAGTTGATTAACTCTCTAACTTGTTTGGGAACAAGAATTAGAAAAAGAAAAATTTGTCAGTTTTTACCTTTGTTGACATGATTCTTGTTTTGCACTGTGCTGGATTGATGGCTTGAGCAAGATCCAGTTCTAAGCTGAAGTCACTGCCGCTTGGAAGCTTCACTGTAGCACTTAACTACAACAAATCAAATCCAGTGTTTCAACTAAGTGTTCTGACTGAAAGGTTTCATTACCAAGTAACAGCTATGGTGGGATGCAACAGTACATGTAGCACACTGCAACTCATTCCCCTTTGCATTCTGTCTGATCAATCCAAGACAATTTAGCAGTGCTCATTATTCAGTATTGTTCCCTATGCATTCCAGATGGGAGAATTCTCTAGCTTTTATGAAGAATTCTCCAACTAAATTTTGTTGGTCTGAGCTATCTTTTGACTGAGACATGAAGCTGTTGTGTAAATGTCTATGTAGTGCATTCTATTATTTCTTAGTAATACTTTCCTGCCTTAACATCTCTACATGAAAGCCCTATTCACATGTATAAGATTACGTGGCTGAGAGAAGCTTTAAAAGAGTACAAAAAAGACTTATGAACACAACATCAAATTTTAGCTCATTTATCATTATGCCAATGTGGCTACTAAAATTTCCTGTACTACATGTAATTTGCATATCAATGAAGTTTTCTCTACAATTTACTAGAGGGTCAAATGAAGCCTTTAATTTTCCATGTGATGTGTTGAGTAGAAATTCAAATAAACATGATTATTCAACTGATGATGTACAATACTCTCATTAAGAATTCATTTGCTGCAAATCTTTCATAGCTTCACTAGCAAAGAAACTAAATTAAATCAAGAGTAAAATAACTTTTGAAGAAGAGTGATGTCTCTTACTGTTTGGTCACCATATTCCACATTCACATTCTCCTGTTTTACATTCTTGATCATCAAAGTTACAATGACGTGTGTTTCTGTTTGATACCAATCATATCTAAAACAAAATAATGTCAGTGAGATCCATTAGTAGAGAATGAATTAATATTAATTTGAAACAAATTTATTTTGTAATTTCACACTTGAATTAATAATTGAATTCACTTATTTTGAATTTACTTTCAGGTATTAATTAATCAGGGAATTATTTCACCATCACAATGAATTAATTTTCTTTTAATCTAGGAGCTGACTCCCAATTTCGCACTCCTCTGCAAGCAGCAAAGCTCACAAGATTCGAGGGAACAAGAGATCTGTAAGAAGTCTGGTACTGGAAAGTGAGAGCCTGCAAGATTACTTTTGTTTCCAAATACAGTATTCTGATTGGTAAAAAATTGTAGGTCCCATTATTACCATGCAGAATGGGGAGTTTTTGACAATCAAACCCAAACATGGTTTTCGTTAACCCAAATGTTGGTTACCTGTACTTCAACAACTTACTTCGGTTTTGAAACTGTGTACTGTTGCTGAGGTTGTTCTTGATTAGATTGCCCATCAATGACAGCCAAAACTGATGAAGGCTGTCCTGTCACAGATGCTGCATGACCATCAGAAGCCGCAGGCTTGACAACTGGAGGTTGCTGGTTAGCTTTGCCTGCTGTCTCAGCCTCTTTGTGATTGTCATCTTTTTGTATCAGTTGCGAATCTTCCCCTCTAGCCATGCCCACCATCACCTACAATACACAGTTTACATATAACAGATTCCAATGCAAATAGACAAATTGAACCAAAGTGAAACCATGAGTATGGTGAACTTGGGGATATACAGTATAGAACTACCAGTAATTATACTACAATTCCAAGAAACAGAAAAGAGCCATTATCCCAACAAAAAGTCCTCCCCAATTGATCTACCATATTTAAAAATCAATCTGCAACCTTTGATAATATGTATGCTCTCCCCAGACTCAGGCTTATGACCATGAAAACTGTCTTGATGTTCTGTTCACCCTTTTCAAAGAGTATTCTCAACCTTTGCAATGGAATCATAAAGACACCAGAGGGAAAAATATGTCCTTTGATTATTTTCATTGGCCTTTTCAACATTTAGATCAAGTATAAAGACTTGCTTTGATTTACATTTGATTTGCTTTGTGGTACATTTGAACTGACAACAACTGTTCACTTAACTCTGATGACTTCTACTCAGGTTTTCAAAATGTCAGTCAACACTACCAACAACAGTCCTTCTCAGGACTACACTCAATAAGACAATCAGACTATACTATCACTTGTAATGATTTCTTGCCATTTCTTTGTGTCAATAAGTCTTTGGTTAATTCAGTTACATGTGGGTAAAATATAAATAATGCCAATACATGTAGAAAGAATTTTGATATCAATTTCTCTATGATGTTTTAACCTGTGTTCTTCATTGCAAGATTATGTACCATACCGTATCAGGAGAGTTTTCATCCTGTTTTGCTTCATTTTCTGCCACTAATTAAACAATAAAAAACAAAATGTGTCTTTATTTACACAGTAAAGTTAAAAAAAGTATTAAAATCTTCAATTCTGCCACCTACTCAGTTCAGATCATACATCCACACTTGACTTCTGACATCACTCTCTATAATTTTGCCTTAGAACCACATTCATAAATAAGTGAAAAATTGAAGCAAACATTCAGGTTTAATTCTGATTTCTATTGTAATTTATAGTTCCATTTTTCACTCAACTTTTCTATTATTAAATGTGATTTAAATGTACATAACTGTGTATTATTTTTGGTCCTTTGTTTTCCACTTGTTCAACTTGAACTCCCAATATCTTGGTCATTTTTTCAATTTCCCTTAAGGTTAAAGTTGGTGTGATAATGATGACAATAAATTTTGAGACATGATGAACATAACTATCATTTGATATAAACTTACAGTCCAATTCAGCATCACACTTTCTAATCCACATTTTCAGCTCTTTGTTTTCTTCTGCAAACAAGTGACAGAAACAGAGTCATTGTGGTTTTGAAGTATATCAACATTCCTTCTATTGAAAACATACTGTATATTTATTTAAGAAGTGAAAGGAGTTCATTTGGCTTACTGTCAAGTTTTAATGCATCTGAAAAAGCCTCTCTGGCAGCTTTGAAATCCTCAAGGTGAAACAGCGCCATTCTGAGAATTAACAACAGTAATAAATTGGGTGATCATAATATAATTATTTTTATCTATTTAAATTTTTTATGTGTTTTAGTCATAATGAGGATCAAAAACGTCAACTTAAAACATTCATAATTTTTGGACAATGTCAGCAATAGAGATGCATAAACACCTATCAAATAAGGTCATTTTCAATATAACAAATTTAATTGAATTTGATGTGTCATGACAGTTTGCCTTCTTTCTAGAGCTCAAAACAAACTTATTAAAGCATACTATATATTAAATACTTTATTGAACAAGCTTGTTAAGTCAAGAGGGCTATATGTTAGTCTTGTTCCTTTTTTCGCCTTTTCATGGATCTTGACTCCAACTTGGTCCATAAAAATGCACCAGAAGAACTTGACAAAAATGCAGCCATCATGACTTTATGCTTGGTGAATGGTGCATACATGTAACTATGTATTACACAATTTAGGTGCAGTACTAAAGGGGCTAATTTCAAGTGGTACCAGATGAGATCTGTCCTTACCCTTTCCGTGTGTGTGCCTTGGAGTGGTCTGGTTGTAGACTTGCGGCTGAAGATGCATCTGCTGCTGCAGCTGTTTATAAAATTGAAAAATAATATTGAAAAAAAAGTATTTATTCTAACTTAAAAATCTAAGATACTCAGGTTATACAAGCAATGTATTTGTTGCAGTTCAAATGATTTTCAGGTCAGAACAAATTCAATCTTGTTTGATAGGCTCATGTAGGTATTCCATTTGTTAATGATTACTGTGATATATTGTTGACAAAAGAAAGTGCAGATTGATCTGGTTCAAAGTATTTTCTTTGACCTGAAAAAAATTTAAACCATAACCCATACTTGTCGAGTGATTTTTAGTTTGTAACTGGTACAGTAAAAATTCCTTATCAACTATGAAGGCTGGAACTACTCACATGGCAATAGCTTGTCCTGATACAGAGTCTATAATATAAAGCATCTAAAATTATTGTTACCCCTCCTAGAGAGTATACTCAGGTACACTGTAGTTCTGAGGCCGTCAATAGGAAAGGGGGGAGGGGGCAGCCATTTCACAGCCTTTAGAGTGCCATTATTCCTCAAACCAACCAATTAACAGCTGTTTTGAGGAAAAGTGTCTTACAATCCCAGAAGACCTGCGATTGCAGCTGTCAGAGTTTGACACAAGCAGTTCTATGTACTTGGAGGCCATCCTGTGTCAAATTAAACGATTGCCTATGTTACCTTGGTAGTTTTCGAGCTTCATAAACGCTGCTGCCCTTTTCAAATAGCAGTCAGCATCATATGCATTCAGCTCTATAGCCTCTGAGTATTTCTGCAAACGTAAACACATTTTAGATCAATTCGTGATCAACAATTACTAAGTAAGAGGGAAAGGAAAGAAGTTATATGTTACAAAGCAAGAGCCTTGTCTCGATAAAGTTTATTTTCAATCTTAGTTTAGAATAAAATGGAGTGTGGAGGTACAAACGAAACGACTGAAAGTAAAATTGCTTGCAGAGTCACATGTCAAATTTTTTAACTTGAGTTTGAAACGATGAAAACCACATATTTACCTTGACAGCGAGTTCAAAATCATCGTCAACAAAAGCATCGTTGCCTTCTCTAAAACAACGCAAGAGAAGTTAGAACGTCACCACCATAAGTAAAGCGACAACTTATGCGAGGGTCACCTCTCTTACCTTACAAGGTCGTTAGCCGCCATCTTGGTTTTGGTTTTGGTTTTGTGCAGCCTAGCCTTCAAACAAGAAGGCTAGGCTACACAGCAAGCCGACAGCAACACTGGCTTGAGCTAGGCCTGACTAAGGCCTAACCTCATTTGACCTCTTCGGGCTCGAGAGAGGCTAGGAAGGCCAAAGAGTTGCCAAAAAATAGCAAAAAACCCCAAAATTTCCGACTTAAAAAGTTGCTACCTAAATTTGCCATCTATATGTTTATATAATCGTTAATTAAAAGCTTGATTTGTTTTATTCACAACATGTGCTAACATTGGTTAAGATGGGAGCCCATTAGGTAATGGGCTCCTAGTTAAGAATAATAGCTTGAAACTTAGCTTTAAAGAGTTGCTCGTAGATATTAGCAAAATTTGAGGATGCTAAAAGTCTAACCGAACAAAACACATGGTTCATTTGACGTTTTGCCGAACGTCATTTTAGCCAATGATCCGTCATAATATTTGAAAGAAATCGCAATAGGCCTGCGATACGTTTTTAAGTGACAGGTTATGTGTTAGTTTTTCATGAAATCGTTGACTTTTTCAGGCTTAATGCTCTACACCTATATTTTGCTCAAAAACTGCTCAGAAAGGCAAAAATTGCTCGAAGTTGCTGGAACCGCAAAAAGTTACTCTAAACGCCAAAAGTTGCTGAAAAGTTGCCGAGCACAAACGTGACAGGCCTATTGGCCAGGGAATACAAACAGTCTCAGGAGCCCATTACCTAATGGGCTCCGGACAGTCTATTTTCTTTTGCAAGTTGTTAATGTAAGATCATGAGTTGCTCGAAATACCAGTAAAATTAAATTAAATTCATTTTCATTGAAAAGTTATACTAAAGGTGGTCTTTCAACAAAAAAAATTGATCCATTGCTCTGATCCATAATTTATTGTTCTTAAAATTATTCAGTCATTATCTTTCCTCTCGGGGGGGAAGGTTTTGGAGGGATCACACGGTTTTCAAATAGAACAGAGGAAGGATCAGTAGTGGCCAACAGAGCGTAAATGGAGGGGGGGGAGGAAATGTAGAAAAGCGATCTCATAATTAACTTGCCAACGATGGGGTAGAGGGATCATAACAATATCAAAGGGCCTAATGGGGGGGGGGGGGGGGAACGGCGGGAGCGCGCGAGGGGGAACTCAGGCAAATTTTATAATTCAGTCATGTCACAGGCAAAATCCTCAAACGCGATTCCTTTCCTTTAATACTTCGGGAGCAAGTTTAGAAGCAGAAACAAACTGCTCGAATACTAACATTCTTTGAAGTAAAATAGCTTCCAAAACCAGCTTAGGTGATCGTGATCGTTTATTCCATTGCATTCCGGTATATAAACAGTTCATTTTGGTCACTATGGGTATGGAACTAAATCGGAATTAATTTATTGTTTTCCTTGTTTTGTTTTGTATTTTGTTTCGTGTCGTTTGTTGTTTTCTTTTGTTTGGTATGCGATTAGTTTTATACTAATTAATAATGAATATTTGTTCCATTTTCAAAGTTCCACTCCTTACCGATTTGTCGAATAAGTATTTTAGGTTTATTTTACGGTTGGATCCTAGGCGCTGGTGTGTAGAACAAGCACAAAGCCTGTTGTGCACTAATTTTATTGAACTCTATTTTTAACTAGCTCACTTGAACTACACAAAACCCTAATTTCGGCTTTGTTTACCAAAAAATGGCGGCATCGATTTTAAATTTGAAATGGTTTCAGGGTGTCTGAATACATTGAGATATCTAAATTGCGGTGGGCACTATATGTCCACCCAAGTACAGTACTAAATTGCCCATTGAACAAAGAGAATACAGTGCATCCTTTTTTCTTTTAACAAGCAAGCATACTTAATAATGAGCTTTCAAAAAAAAAAAGGAAAGAAAAAACATGTAGATGTTAGTCTAAACATTGTGCTTATCAGCATCTCTCTTTATGTAAATGGTTCTAGTTAGCACAAGAAGAGCAGAGTATATCGTAAAACACACTTTCTCCATTTCAACAAACAACTGTCTCCCACTGCTCAAGCTTTAAAAACAAAATTATTTACAAATCGCGGTATGACTGTATGTGTATCAGGCGCTTCAGTTCCACACTCGTAAACAAGTAACTTCGTCCAAGTCGAGCTAAGACAAGACTGTCAAATCCAAACGCACACACGTTAACGCACATCTATTTTTGGTCATTAACTTCGCAAGAAAGGCCGAAATCGATAACACAATGAGTGATGCAACGGGAAGTTTATAGTTGTGACATTAAGAAATGAACTCCACGTCACCGTGCCTCTGTTTAGGAGTAGATCGCATGTGACGAAAAAATGCGCGTACGGGGCGCAGCCGTGTGAACACAGTGGTCAAACGTTTGTGCAAGTATAAAATGACTAGTGGCGCGCTTTCAGGCTGTCAAAACAAGGTAGTCACCGTAAGAGTTTAAAGGCTGACGTTTCGAGCGTCAGAGCGATTGACGAGGGGCTAACTGCTCGAAACGTCAGCCTTTAATTAAATTCTTTACGGTGGCCAATTTACGTTTTCAACTCAGTTGATAACACTAAATTACCCTGTTATACTCTCCTACCGACGCAGCACTAAAGTTTCTTTTGAGTTCGAATCTTACCCCCCTTGTATTCATTAGTCTCACACGAGTTACAAACAACTACACATCTGGGAAGTCATGGTTTTTTAAGATAAACTCGTTGTATTCGAAAAGTCTAGAGTTTTCTTTTTAACTGTTTTTGTTCCCTTCTTAGAGGATCTTCGTGGAGTGATGGCATTTACGACTAACAGTTAAAATGTTGGCTATTTTACGGCTAATAAATTATGATAAAAGGAAAAACGCTTAAAGGGTTTTTTTTAAGGCGGTAGAAACTTCTCAACCCCATTGAGATCCTCCTTTAAATATTTCGTTTCAATTTACTTTCGCTTATTTTACTGGGCAGAAGTTGTTTTGTTTTCCGGTGAAATTTTTCGCGCGAACTTGGTGAACGACCGACAAAGATGGATCTTCTCACGCATGCCTGGAGTTTGACTGCTGCGTTAGCTGAGCCTTTGTCAGTGATTTTCTCTACATAGATAGTCAGTTTGAAGAGTCAGTGATTGCTTGAATTCAAAGCTTAGTTATTGAACGATTATACATTTCACGCATGTAAAACAAATCAAGTATTGCCAGAGTACTACAGTTACCGTCAAATAATTAAGTCATTTTGATTAGTATAAGATCAAAACGTATCGCAAATACTCCAATCACGTTAAAACATATATTTCCCATTTATTAAACCATATTGTTCATTTATTTATCTAATTTCGTTTTTGTTGTTTTTATATGATACTTCATACCGTGGTATCTGAAAATAAAACGTTAAAACAGGTTTTACAATTTGCCAATTTGACGCTGCAGTTTAATTCAACGTCAACCAACCTCAGGAATTTATGACTTTATAACTGAATTTTAATGCTTAACTCATTATTTTGACTATGCGTGAAGAGAAAGTTTCCCTCAGCATGAAACTAGACACCAAGGACAAAGTGAATTGAACTATTGAAATGTTATCCTTCAGTACGCGCATGCGCGAAATGCTGACTACGAACTTTTTCCTTTACAAACTTATCCCATATGAGTTATACTGATTTTTTTCAGTTTTGACATGCATGTACCTTAAAGGGGCTCATTTAAAGTATTCTGAGTACAATCCCTTGAAGAAATTTCTACAAAACTAGTCGGGTATTTGTAATGACAAAACAAATAATTACCGATCACTAACTCTAATTGTGGGGTCTGCATACTTGTTTCTTTCAGTTTTGTTTTCATCTCTATGTTTATCATTAAAACATTCCTGAGATAGAAAGCGAGTGTCACTTATGTTCGCCGTCCTTTGTCTCCTCCGGATTCTGCTGTGATATCTTCACGCTTGCTGTCTTGACGGGATCAATTTGGGCGTATACTGTTTGGGGCTGTTCTTTGACAAGCTTTGCACTGTTTTCGCGGGAAAGGATCAGATCTGCGTACACAAGGCCACGGTATGGAGCGGGCTTCTACATTGAACATGGAACAGAGAATAATACCTTATGAGCAGATCGTGAAAAAAGAGACATTAAATAACGATAGCAACACAGTAACGAGGTAAACAAATAAACAAACAAACAAGCAAACAACAACAGCAACAAAAACAACATTAAATGAGGAATAAAACACCAAAGATTGTAAACGAATTTTATAAGATAACCGGGCCAGTGTTCCCTTATTTTGCTTCTGATCAAGGTTTTTTTTTATTTCAAAGTTACTTTTGTCAGTTTAGTCTTGTATTTTTTGTTTATTTGTTTGTTGCAGAGGATCCTTTAGACACTTAGGCAAAGATCCAGCTGCTGTGCTCCAGCTGTACGCTGAATTATCATACGTAAACATTATGAATCGAAGATTGTGAGATGTATTACCTGTGGCGGCTTCTTCTTCTTTTTTGTCATGTCAACAGCTGCGTACAAATAATCAGTGTTCCCGCCAGCCTGAGGTGTCTGGCTCCCTGCAGCCTCTGTGTTGTTGTCGAGCCCTGAATCAGTTTGATGAGACGAACCATTCTCTGGTGTCAGAGACGGGGACTGATCTACATGGGACGCCCATTGCACAGGTAAGCCACTTGTTTCTTCCTGAGGGTGGCCCGCAGTCTTTTCTAGGGCGCTCACTTCAGAACTGGCTCTCCCTTTTCTTTCTTTATGAACAACAGCGTAAACATGATCCTTGTTTTCTTCTTTTTGATCGCACAAAGCAGGTGGCTGCTGTATTCCTTTCTCACCACTCACCAACACTGTGTTTTCTGGCGCTCTTTCCTGAATATCTGAACATCCCTCGCTTACTGAACTCAACTTTCGATTAGTCTCAATGTTATCATAGCCGCACTCTCTTTTGCAGTCGCTCACTGTTTCGTAGGTGGCCAGCTCAGATTCCGTTCGTGAAAGGGTTAGGTGAACAGTAAGCTCAGCGGAGCTCTGTGTTTGTTGAACAAGCACAGTGTCGAGTGATGTCAGTTCAGAGTTCGAAGGCTTCTCGTAGGTGCATATGACGCGATCTTCGTCTAAACGTCATCTATGACGCAAGAAATTAGGCTTCACTGATATTTTAAAGAAATAAAAACGCGCCGAGTGTATTGTTGAGTTATATAAGCACGCGGGAACTTTAAAGAACACGAGAGAAGTGCGGAGAAGCACGAGCCGCAGGCGAGTGCTTCTCTCGCTTCTCGAAGAACAAATTTTTTGGGGTTCTTTTATAATAATATACATGAAAGAATCATTCATTTCTGATAGGTGAAATAAATATCAAATAATTCAATGCAGAAGAGGGTTAATTCAGTGGAAAGAAAGTAACAAATCAGACATTCTGATTGTTCAATAATTAAAGAAACTCACAGATAGCCAATCAAATGCGAGCCTTGGACGTCTTAACATTTGGTTACTCTGAAAATTTGCGAGCGAAACAATGGCCGGCGTTTGAAGTAGGCCTTCTTTCACCACCGCAACAACAGTACAACAGCTGGAAAACAGCTCTAACAACGAAAACACTGTAAAAAGCTGTTGGTTGTCGATTTGGAAAAGTGGTGTTTAGAGAAGGGAATTGCTAAGGCCGAAATGAAAATTACAAGCCGATCCAGCTGAACTCTTTGCTCGAGCGATTCTACGTCGAAATTAAAACAAACATGGTTAAACCTTGCAAACGACGATTCCTTTCCATCGAAAGCGATTAGGACTCAGACTGACTGACTCAGACTGCCGGACTTTGAACTTTTTTGTGCCTCATGGATGTGAGAATATCATTGAATATTACTGTTTTAATCGTACGCGGTTATTTTGACTGAATGCACAGGTTTGAATAAATTATTTTTTCACCTGATGGGCGCGCTTTGCTTCTGTGTAATTATGATAAGCTATCTCGTATTTTTTCATATATATTATTAATACGTAATCACATGATTTTTCTGGTGCAGTTTGGAATAAACAAGCACTTGTTAATTTTTTCAAAGACTAATAAAATTGCACGAGCCCGTAGTGCTTATTTATTCCAAATTGCACTCGAAATCATGTGATTACCTATACTAAAATGCATCATGAATTGCGCGCGCTCGTACCGATGACGTAGGCTGTGTGCCTAATATCTCAACAGTGTACTTGTGTGACGTAAGGCGCGTGCTCTATGGAAATATAATGAACTCGTTCTGACCAATCACGGCGCGCGCATTTCTCTGAACATTTTATAATGTGCAGTAAATTGCTTATCAAACAAATTTGTTTTTGACTTTGATAATTTCTCTAACTAATGTTTTTAGGGTCAGCAGTTTTACATTAAGTAACTCAGCAGTTGTAACATCAGTTCATAGTGTCACTGTACACCCTGGTACTGCTTATCTTACTTCCGACCTTGTCTCGCTTTTGTAAGGAGGACCATGGTACGCAAAAGACAACTGCCGTGTGTATCTCTAACTTAAGAACTATTTTTCGCTGACCTGGAGACTGGCGACAACCAGCCAAAGCAACACGCCGAAGGGCATCTTATTGCCTCTCTATTTGATCAATTTGTTGCATAGCTTATTTTTCCTTTTGTAACAAATGTTTTAATCGCTTCCGGGGTAGTGGTTTGCCAAATTTAACAGAGAGGCAAAAAAGAAACCTTCTCCTTTTTATAAACCTAATAATAAGCAAAAACTCTTTAAGTGTACTTAAATACGTATCAGTAATCTAGTGTATACTTACTCATTGTAACATAATTTCCAAAGTTATCCCCAAAATCGTGTCACCAATTAATTTTCACCGTAGTTGTCGTTGTTAGTGTTGAAAGAAAATAAAAAAAAAATTAAAATTTTTTTTTAAAAAAAATAGGAAACGTAAGTGTGTTCTTTTCAGTGAAGGTTTTAGTCAAGGGTCGAGGGTGAAATGTCAAGGATTCAAAAATTTCCTAATTCATTAATTGATTTATTTCTTTGCTTATTTAAAATTTGTTGTTATATCATTCCTTCTATCTCGTGGTCGTAAGATTTCCCACCCTTCTCCAAGTGTCAGCAATACCAGGATGTTAGCTCTCGTGTCCTCTCTTTAGCACTTTCTCGCATTCTCTTATTTCACTCGCGCGTGTTTTGGTGAGTTATTCGTAATGGAGAGTTTTTTGACAGCGTTCTTCCTTCTCAATAATCTTTGTTGGAAGTCTTTTAATATTTTGATGAAAAAGACTTTCAGCTTTGCTCAGAGCACGTTGTTAAAAATCCTACCAAAAGTAAAACCACGACTTCATGAACTTCTATATAACGTGGTTCTTGATAGGAAGAACGATATTCTTTGCCCCAGTAATACGAAAATCTATGATTAAGTACCTCGATATTTTTAGTCCCTTAGCAGTCTCAAAAGTGGAAACGCGCGAATGGCTAAGAGAAAAGAGCGGGGAATTTTGCGACCACAAGATACAAAAAAATGTTTATTAAAACTATAAATAAGTGATTCATAGAACTTCACGAAGTCGATCGGAGGAAACTCATAGACGAACTTTACATCTTATGTACAAAAACAGACGCAGGTACAGGGGAAGCGGAAGGAGACACTGATTACTCACTGATGGCTCGAAATTTGCTCTTGTTTTGAAGCCCATGGTCCAAATCGCCTAAACTTTATTGATTAATTTTTTCTCTAAAATACTTCAGCCGTCGAAACCCGTCACCAAAGAGGTTTCTTGACCGTTGAAAGAACCGCCATAAATAACCAAGTTTTGTTTTGCGTGATCCAGGCGCGGATGTCGACAAATTAATAAACCTCTTGCGCTCGAGGAAACATAAGTAATAATAAACAATTAGATAAATAAATTCTTGACATATTTTGAACCCTCGCCCCTAAATGTTTTCCCCTCGACCCTCGACCCTCAGCCCTCGACAAAAACCTATACTTTGTTCTTTTCGAAGCATTGTCAAAAAGTGAACAATAAAATAAAGCATAAACTGCTGCAATTATTGGAAGGACATTTAATATGGATTTTAAGTACATGCTCTTGTGCACAGTTGACTGATTACGTGGATAACTGAAGGTAAAAAGTAAAGAAGACGAAAGTAATGTAAAGACACACGAAAAGTATTTTTCCCCATGATAGACAAAAAGTTAGATATGAAACAAATGAAAACACAGTGAAAGGCACTTACATTGTTTATCGTGGCTCCGACGTCTACGAAAGAACATAAGTCCGAAAGCGACTACAAGGAGCAGAATGAAAATGGCCAGTAGCACCACAACAATCACAACCAGGTTAGGCTTGCTAGCATGTACATCGTCTGCCAAGGGATATTCAGTGACAGTATTCTCAAACGTGACCCCTCATTTGATATATAAAAGAAGAGACTGTTTCAGATAAGGCATGAAACTAAATGTTCAGACGCAAGTTTTTTAAAAATAATAAAATCATTTTGATTAATCAAATCTACGTGTAAGCATTCTCAATACAAATTCAATGTTGCTCTCGTCTTTAAAAATTATACAAATACTGTAAAGTCAATAAAACGATGATGATAATGATGGTGGTAACTAATAACAGAACAGACAAAGGAACAAAACACATGGAAGTTGAAAAACTGGTGATAAATTTTTTGTTTCTATTTTTTAAAGGTTCTTTTCTGTATCTCATACCTGTGCTTTGATGATTGCCCATCCATTTTTAAGGGAAGCGCAAATTAACAGTAACAGTGTGGTACGAATTTATTTTACATGGGAAAATTACATAAATAAATGAATAAATCTTTGCATGAAAAATAGTAATAGCCAAAAAAAAGGGTGGATAAGCTTTTACCTGTTGTCGCCGTCGTAGATGATCCTTTGACCCGAGTATTTGTCGATGCCTGGGATCCATCATTCCATCCTAAATTAGAGAGGAACACAAAACCAAAGTTAGTGATTCACTATTAGCATTTTCAATAAAAAGTCAACGTTTTTCTAACATATAAAAATTGTACAAATACTTGTAGGTAGATAATAAAAATGTTAATAACCAAAAAAAAAAGGGTAGATAAGCTTTTACCTGTTGTCGTAGTTGTAATTGATCCTTTGATCCAAGCAGTTGTCGACGCCTGGGATCCATCATTCCGTCCTAAATTAAAGAGGAACACAAAACTAAAGTTAGTAATTCACTATTAGCATTTTCAATAAAAAGTCAACGTTTTTCTAGTATATAAAAATTGTGCAAGTACTTGTAGGTAGATATTAAGAATGGTAATAACCAAAAAAGGGTAGATAAACTTTTACCTGTTGTCGCAGTTGTAGATGGTCCTATGGCCCGTGTAGTTTTTGATGCCTGGGATCCATCATTCCGTTCTAAATTAGAGAGGAACACAAAACCAAAGTTAGTAATTCCGAGTCACTATTAACATTTTCAATAAAATTCAACGTTTTTCTAACATATAGAAATTGTAGAAATACTTGTAGGTAATAATAATGATAATGCTCACATGCACGAAAAATGGTAATAACCCCCCCCCCCCCCAAAAAAAAAGGGCAGATTAGCTTTTACTTGTTGTCGCAGTTGTAGATGGTCCTGTGAACCCAGCAGTTGTCGATGCTGGGGATCCATCATTCAGTCCTAAATTAAAGAGGAACACAAAACCAAAGTTAGTAATTTACTATTAGCATTTTCAATAAAAATTCAACGTTTTTCTAATATATAAAAATTGCACAAATACTTGTAGGTAATAATAATGATAATGCTCACAAAAGTGGTAAATAACAACAAACCAGAACAAAGAACCAAAAGTATGCACATTTTGTTTTCTATTTGTTTAAGGTTTGTCTGTTCCTTTTCTACTTACATATGTGTAATAAATTTAAAGTTAAAGATTTTCAGGAGTTTCAAGGAGTAAGTCGGGGGAAGTTATGCCACTTTACTTTATTTATACTTACATTCAGCGCTGATTCACATCATCGTCTAGACATTTTTGTTGAATAGGTAAAGCCTTCAACAGTTACAACGCCAATACTTACCTGTTGTGGTGGATGCCGTCGCTTTCGCTGATTTTTTCTCTAGACAAGAATATGAAAATTCACTTATCATTGTAATTTTGTGATTTTATATCCTATTTTAAATGGAGCGCAAAGCAATGGTAACAGTGTGGTATCTATATATGGAAAAAAACAAACAAACAAATCTTTGAAGAAACGAATAAATAGATATATTAAAATAATTTAGCCAATTGAATAACAAGAAGTCCTTATTGGCTCACTACTAGGGTCCAAAGTGAATTCGTGGTCTATCTAACATTGATACTGTGTTATGTAATCTTTTTAGCTTTCCTCCTCGGTGTAATCGACCTTCAAGAGAGGGACCGGGCCGTACTACGATTTACTTATTCTTAATTTCAGTTTCGCGTTATGTGAATTAAAGGTCTATTACCTCCTCCACCTGTCAATTCACATATGAATCCTGCTTCGGCTTTGGATTCAGTGCACCCGATATCATTATAGCGCCCAAAGTCTTCACGATAACATCTGTACATTTGTGCACAGTTCTCATCTTTGTTGTTAGGTTCATCTTTCGCCCAGGGCCAGTCTCCTTTAATGGACGCATTGACCGTGCTGTTATCACTTAACCATCTCCACACTCCAGTTGATGTATCTTTCCACAAACCTATGAAGTATTCAATGGTATCTTCTTTTTGGATGGTTCGATTCAGGAAGTTCCACTCTTCACGACTCTCAATAGAAACAAGGTTATATCCAGACTGTTCACATATTGTTTTGCTTCTTTCCCAATTGTACCCGTTACCATTGCTCCTATAGAAAACGTAGCTGGAACCACTGAAGTTCTTCACGGGAACTGAATGTAGAATTCAACAAAGACACACCCTATTCATTAACTGTTGACCTTACCAGCCGATAACACCTTGCGAGCAAGTTTAGGAACAGAAACAAACTGCTCCAATACTAATATTCTTTGGAGTAAAAAATCATCCAAAACCAACTTAGGTGAACGTCTATTCGACTGTATTCGAATGTAAACAGCTCTTTTTGGTCGCTATGGTTATGGATCTAAGTTGTAATTACTCTATTGTTTTCCTGGCTTTGTTTTGTATTTTGCTTCTTGTTTTTCGCTTTTACGTGTTGTTGTTTTTGTCTTTTGTTTGGTATGCGATTAGCTTCATACAAACAATATTTGCTCCCTTTTCAATGTTCCACTCCTTAACGATCTGTCGAATAAGTATTTTAATGTTGGATCCTAAGCGCTAATGTATGGAACAAGCACAATGCCTGTTGTGCACTAATTTTATTGAACCATTTTTTAAACTTGCTCACCTGGAAAATACAAAACCTTAATTTCGGCTTTTTTTTACCAAAAAATGGCTGCATCGATTGTAAATTTGAAATGGTTTCGTGGTGTCTGTGTTTCGACGATAAATTCTACAACTATTACAAAATTCGAAAACGAAATCACAGCGCCTAAACGTACTGTTTTTTTTCCGAACTCCACGACTGCTGAACGACAACCAACTGACACGACCGATTCGAATATTAATAAGTTAAGACTTAAATTCTAGTATGCAGTTTTTCGTTCGGCCGTCCCAACGGACGGCGTTAATAGTAATGACCAAGCGTTCGCAGTCGCGGAACAGTCTGAATACATTGCGATATCTAAAGTGCGGTGGGCACTATTTGTCCGGCCAATTACAGTACCATCCTTTTTTCTTTTAACAAGTAGGCATACGTAATAATCAGCTTTCAAAAAGAAAAAAAAAAGGAAAGAAAAAGAAAAAAAAAAAGAAAGAAAAAGAAAAAAAAAAGGAAAGAAAAAGAAAAAAAAAAGGAAAGAAAAAGAAAAAAAAAGGAAAGAAAAAGAAAAAACACGTAGATGTTAGTCTAAACATTGTGCTTACCAGCATCACTCTTTGCGTAAATGGTTCTAGTTAGCACAAGAAGAGCAGAATATATCAGAAAACACATTTTCTCCATTTCTCTCACAGTGTCCTCGAGCTTTAGAAACAAAATTGTGTCCAAATCGCGGTATGATATGTGTATCAGGTCCTTCAGTTCTGCACTGGTAAACAGGTAATTTCGTCCAAGTCGAGCTAAGACAAGACTGTCAAAACCATACGCACGCACGTGTATTAAGCACGAATGTAGTTTTACTCTTCCAGCATTTGAAACATAATCTTTGTTTTCTCTAATTTTTCAGTTTGAAAATTAGTTCTCGTAAATCAGCTTTATCTCCTTTTTCTACAATTTCCTTCAGAGCTTATCAGCATAAACATTGTTGTGTTCAGCCTAAAAAGAGTCTTAGATTTCTCAGACTACTTTTAGCACTTTCCATTTAATTACACAGTACCCTGTTGGATAAGTATGAAAGTTCTGTTTAAGCACTGACTGATAAAAAATGAGGGCACTTTCGATGTAGACGCTTTAATAACGTTCACGATTATTAATAGACCTTTTTTTTTTTAATATACAGCTAAACCCCTAAGAGTGAAGCGATTCACGAAACAGGCTTGTCGGGAAATGTAGTTACGTCCCTTTTTTCCTCTCATAATATTTATCCTGCTCTGCTTCAACGTATTGAGCACTGTTCCACGCGAAAATCGACTTGCAGACTTCCTATATATATATATGTATATTTTTGAATTTACAGGGGTAAATGAGAGCAGGCAATGAGCAGGCAACCATCAAAATGAGTTAGATTAAAAACAGACAGCTCTCCGACAAAAACAAACACATGTAGAGCTGGCGAGTGAAACAGTGAGGCAGTTTTTTTTTTCAGCAAGGAGAGAAATGGCTTCGACAAAACCCCCCGCGCGGCCCGAAATATGAGCTGATATTTGTTCCACTCTTCCATTTGATCGTAAACGAAACTTGGAAGCAACAAACGACTGCACTTGAAGATTGACCTGCCATAATGTGTTTGATGCAAACCGGCATGGGTGAAACGGTGTGGCTATTTTTTTCATCAACAAAAAATATGGCTTCACCAAAACCTTCTCTGCTGACGCAGATACAATTTCAAAATAACAATGACTTCAGGGAGGCGTAATCTGCTCTTCCCCACCCCCAACCCTCTCCTCATTTTTGACCGACGACCGCTCCCTTGGTACAAATTTCTTTCTCTCCCTAGCCTTCAGCTTCTATTAAAATCAAAGATGGCGGCCATAATGTTCGTTAAGGAAATACTGAGCAGTCACTCGCCAAAATCACGCCTACTCTGAAGGCTAACAATTACACGATATTGACTGTTGTTCTTTAACTACAAGTGATATATTCCGTTCAGGAAACATCAAATGAAAGCTATATTTCTTGGTATGAATTCAGACCAACACATTTAGTAGATCGATTGATTACTACAGCTGACAAGTGTAATGAATTAATTTTGAAGTTAGAGAAAAGAGATTTACGAAGGAGTTCAGGGCTATGCTGGCCACATCTGATTTTGATATTCAGTTAACCTGGAAGGATCCTAAAAATTCCAGTGGAATTCAAGGCAATTCAAAGACAACTCCTAGTCACATCATTTATTTTAGTTTCCAAAAGTTACGTCATACCACCGTATGGCGACCACCAAATTGACAGCCAACTGGTGTTTATATTTTCCTTAGTTTTACAACGTTCAAATGAAATCGGGAAAAAAAGGGAAGGATGGAAAGTAGTTAAAATAGAGTAGATCAAATATCTCTCCAAATGATAGAAAACCTGTTCAAAACATCAATAGCACCAACGAAGGTCATCAGCTGCTTGAAGTTACCACGTTTTGATCGCTCAGCAGGTTGTGAGAACATCGTAGCCTCGGTTTCAGACATCGTCAGTTTGATAGGTCCTGGCAAGCATGGCGACCTGAAGACTGTGTCAGAGAGTTAACATTTCCGTTTTTTTTCTCCATCGACAAAAAAAGGTCCTTTGATTTGTATCAATATCGCTGGCAGCTGAAATTATGAATATATAAAAGAAAGATCTAAACCTACTTTTGCTATTTGTTTAAACCTATTATTTATCAATTAATTATTTTATATATTTTGTGAGCACGTAACAGATGGCTTTCCATTCTCGTAGATATCTTTTGTCTTTTGAATTTCTGTCTCTTCTCGCGACGTCCTTCAGCGTTTCAGCAGCATAATAATATGATCACGTTCAGTCTGAATCGTGTCTTTGTTTTCTGAAACTTCCTCTGGCATTTTCTTATCAAAGTGGCTGACTTAATTATTAGGCTAATGAAGAAAATTTTCGTTTGAGCAAGGACTGACAAAAACAGAAAGAAGTTCCATGTAAACATTTTTAAAGCATGTCGATATTATTATAAGAATGATTTAAGTTCAGTAAAGTTACCGTAACCCTTGAAATTATTTTATTCGACATATTTTCTGGAAATGTTTGTTTTCGTTTTCATCGAAGTTAATGTCCGGAGCTAAGTCAAGATGTTGTTGTTGTTTTTACAAATTCATTCTTCAGGTAGTCTATAATTACTTAATGCTGTGTTCGTGATAACCGATTCATCGAGGAGAATGGACTGGCCATGGTGTTCTTGCTTTGTCAAAGAAACTACCCTCTGCGCCCCTACGTTGAATTTATGGCTTACACAATCGTACATTCTGACACATGCAGGTGCGTTTAATATTAGGGAGCCGCGTTTTAGGATTGGAACTGAGGCGCCTGATATCCATATCATGATGCGATTCACTGGTCGGTGTGGACAAGTCTTGTATTTTTGCGGTATTTCAATGTATGTATGTATTTCAACTATATATGCAAATAATTATTCTGCTAAGTACACTGCCAAGATTGATAGTTCTATAAGTGGTTTTCTATTTAAGTATGTTACCTGGTCATAAAGAACAGATGCCTCGGCATCGGGCGACTCGAATTTTACTTTACTTAACTGATTTGACAACTCTGTAAATCTCTATAAGTTTCAAATTACCGGTAGGTATAGAAGGAAAGAATGAAACAGGCATACTGTCCAAATGCTTATTTTTTCATTTTACTGCACGACTGTCTAACACACACAACTGAAACGCAAGTCAACTTTTCCTTTAAAAATCTCCGTTTTCAATGTTGCGCGAAATGTCATCTGTTCCTCAGCTTCTTACAGTTTTCATAATTCAGGGTAATGGTAAAACATTGTTTAATTGATTTGTCAAATTTTTTCGGAAAAACTACGCTAATTATGAGCAAAATAAATTTCTATAAAAGCTTCGCAGACGCAGCAGCCTTTGCATTGTGCGCTTTAGCTGATTCTATTGTGTATCCATCAATTACATTTACATTTCAAGTTGATGCTTCATGGAAAATTCGAAACTTAGCGCATCAACGAAGGTAATGGGGGCAGTAAATTCAGTATTTTACAAGAAGCGATTCTGATGTTTACAAACGCAATATCGAAAATCTATAAGAAGAGTATTTTACCATATTTTGTTTTTCTAAGCATAGAAACTTCGACCATTCTCTTTCAAGTGTTTTTCGTTTGTTGTTTACTGTTATTATTATTATTATTATTAATATTATTATTATTATTATTATTATTATTATTATCATCATCATCATCATTATCATTCTTTCCATATGGCAAGACTTACTAAATTAAGTTTCTAGTAGTATAAGCTTCTTTATGTCAAAATGAAAACAACAACACTAACAACAGAAAACAAACGAAAAACCGGCTTCAATTCGTTGCTTCTGTTGTTATCATGTAAAATTAAGGTGATATTATTTTGAGGGGCCAGGACTGTATCACAACCCTTACCCCTTTAACTCTCAGATCAAGTTTGTAATTCTCCTTACTGTCAACCATACAGTTCTCCACATGTTTGTTCAGAGAATTTAGTATTGGATCAACTGATTACACCCAAGTGGGTGTAAAATTTTTCCTTTATTCTCATCACCAGTCTGGTTGATATTGTACTGATACTGTAAGGAGAAATTCTGTCTCAGTCACTCATGAGAATTAAATGGTTAAAGATATTCTCCACTGGAGAGGGATATGACATTAGAAATTGTTAATGTTATCTCAGACGCACTCTCTTTTGCAGTCGCTCACTGTTTCGTAGGTGGCCAGCCCAGATTCCGTTTTCGTGAAAGAGTCAGGTGAGTAGTAAGCTCAACGGAGCTCTGTGTATTTTGAACAAGCACAGGGTCGACTGGAGATGTCTGTTCAGAGCTCGAAGGCTTCTCGTAGATGCATATGACTCGATCTTTGTCAAAACGTGATCCATGACACAAAAATTTTGGCTTCACTGAAATGTTATGCAGTAAATTGCTCATTCAAATATGTTTTTTTTTTACTCTAATGATTTCTCCACCTACAGTTTTTAGCGATCAGCAGTTTTCCCTTTATTTACTCAGCCGCTGTAGCATCAGTTCATATTTTCACTGTATACCCTGGTACTACATTATATTATTTATGACCATACTTCAATCTCAGAACCTCGCTTTTGTAAGGAGGACCATGATACGTAAAAGATAACTGCTGTATGTATCTCTAACTTAAGGACTATTTTTCGCTGTCCTGGAGACAGGCAACAACCAGCCAAAGCGACATGCCGAACGGAATTTTATTGCCTCTCTATTTGATCAATTTGTTGCTTTGCTTATTTTTCTCGTTGGTAACAAATTCTTTAATAGCTTCCGGGACAGTGGTTTGCCAAATGTAACTGAGAGGCGGAAAGAAAATCTTTTTCTTCTAATATACTCAATGATGAGCAAAAATTCTAAAAGTGTATATAAATATATATCAGTAATCCAGTGTATACTTACTTAATGTAACATAATTTCCATAGAAATCCCCAAAATCGTGTCACCAATTAATTTTCATCATTGTCGTCGTTTTTAACTCATTAATATATCATTACTTGTATCTCGTGATCGTAAGACAGAAATGCCAGGATGTTAGCTCTTTCGTTTCCTCTCTTCAGCACTTTCTCTCATTCTCCTATTTCACTTGCGCGTGTTTTGGTGAGTTATTCGTAATGGAGAATTCTTGACAGCGTTCTCCTTTCGTAATAATTTCTGTTGCAAGTCTTTTAATACTTCCATTGAGAAGACTTTTGCTCGGAGAAAGTTTCTAAAAATCCTCCCAAAATTAAAACAACGACTTCATGAACCTCTATATAACTTGGTCCTTGGTAGGACGAACGATATTCTTTGTCCTAGTAATACGAAAATCTATGATTAAGTACCTTGATATTTTCAGTTCCTTGGGCTCATAAAAGGAAACGTGCGAATGGCGAAGAGAAAAGAGCGGGGAATTTTGCGACCACAAGATACAAAAAATGTTTATTTAAAACTATAAATATATGATTCACAGAACTTCGCGAAGCCAAACGGAGGAAACATAAAGCGTTATAGACGAAATTTACATCATATATAAAAAAGCGGCGCAAAATTACTACTGCAACGCAGTTAGGGGGAAAAGTGAGACACTGATAACTCACTGGTAGCTCGATATTTGCTCATGTTTTGAAGTTTTAATTTTTTTCTCTTAAAAGCTTCAGCCGTCGAAACCCACAACCATAAGGATCTCTTGACCGCTGAAACAGCCACCATAAATAACAAAGTTTTGTTTTGCGTGATCCAGGCGCGAATGTTGACAAATTTATAAACTTCGCTGCGCTCGAGGAAAAATAAGTAATAATAAAGATTGAATAAATAAATCGTTGGCATATTTTGAACCGTCGACCCCTAACATTTCCCCTCGACCCTCGGCTCTCGACAAAAACCTACACTTTGTTCTTTTCGAAGCATTGTCAGAAAGTGAACAATACAATAATACATAAATTGCTTCAATTGTTAGAAAGACATGTAATAAAAATAATAAATTTAATCAATAAACGAAATGAATTGACTGGAAGGGGAATCTTGGTTTCAGGTTTCCGTTTGGGAAACGCATTGAAGGCGTTTGGGGAAGAAATCCTTTTTACTCAAGGCAATCTTTATTTATATATCTCTGAGTGATAATGTCATTCAGTGAGCCACCATTGATTGAAATATCCATAAGTTATATTACAGAGATGGACTATATATATATATATATATTTACAAATCATAAAACAACTTTACAAATATAGTTTCAGCATGAGTATATATTAGTGTCCGAGCAGTTTGTTTCTGCCTCTAAACTCGCTCCCAAGGTATTTAACACAATTCAGTTTTTATGTGATGGAATCAAGGGTTTCTAGAAACTGCACCCGTAATATTCATAGGCCTTCTACGCCTGGAAAAGAGGTCAACTGAAAAGAAAACACCGTGGGAAAGATTGCCAAAAGGCGACAGCTGCCGCGACATATTCGAAAGTTTACACTTGCTCAGATATTGATCTTGGTGAAGTTCTATTCAATTACGTAATTTTTTGCGGCAAAGAAAACAGGGATCTTTCAAGCTAGATTTGCTAGATCTGCCGGGTGAACTTGCTAAGCACGCAGTCAGCTAAGGCACGAAGGCTGTTACCAAATACACAGGCACCAAGTGAACGAGGAGTACGATATCTTCTTCAAAACCAATCGACTTAAGTCTTTGTAATTCTGTGATCAACCAGTCAACAGATGTTGCTGTTGTTTATTTTGTTGTTAACTCACCCGAGGTTTAAATTATCCAACATCTTAAAGCGGTAGAGATGCTTAAACAAATTGCATTTCAAAGACAATGACTTGACATTTCATTGTAGTCTTGTAAATTGTTGAAATAACTAGCCGTTCCTTGATAAAAGATGAATAAAGGGGTAAGTTTCTAAAGAAACTGTGGGGCTGCGTCGGTGGGAAAGTATACCAGGTAATTTAGTGTTAACAACTGGGTTGAAAACGTAAATTAGCCATCGTAAAGGGTAAAAAAGCTGACGTTTCGAGCGTTAGCCCTTCGTCAGAGCAATGGACAGCTGTCGCGACATCTTCGAAAGTTTACACTTGCTCAGATATTGATCTTGGTGAAGTTCTATTTAATTACGTAATTTTTGCGGCAAAGAAAACAGGGATCTTTCAAGCTAGATTTGCTAGATCTGCCGGGTGAACTTGCTAAGCACGCACGCATCGCTCTGACGAAGGGCTAACGCTCGAAACGTCAGCTTTTTTACCCTTTACGGTGGCTAATTTACGTTTTCTACCCAGTTGTTAACCCTAAATTACTTGATAAAAGATGTCGACTTTAGATCAAATGATAAGCTTTTGTATTTCGTATCATCTTTGCTTTCACTGTACTTAAAAGAGAAAGGCGTTTCACTTAGAAAATTCTCTGGTAACGTGACCCCAGCTATTGAAATGCATGTCTTACGGCACTCGCTGTGTTGCAGAGTTTGGAACAATGTAACGAAAGATGCACAAATTGCTTGTGTGATGGCCCGCTACAAATCGATTTTTGTTTACAACTGCTGAATATTTATCACAAGGCAATAAAAAGCGAGCGAAGATTCCTTGCCTTCCTTCCGAAACGATCTACTGAAGGCTCAAAGGCGAAAACTTGCTTTCCTTTTGTTAGCTTTCCGGACTCATATTTAGTCGGGTCATCGTCCAGTGCGAGAGCAAAATTGGAGCCGCACGGGGTGATATCAAATGCGAGCGTAAGGTGTTTGTGGATTGTAAAGCTTTCGTATGTCAGCCCGCGTTTCCCCACGGAGAAAAACAGCTGGGAACTAAGACTCTTCTTGAAGAATTATTCGTGGTATTCTAGAAATACCAGCGTTGTTGATTCTTAGAAAACAACGGAGGATTCGGGGATATTTCAAATAAAAATAATGCCGAGACCTTGCGCTGTTTCCTCTGCCACTTCGTTAAAATCAATTTGCCAATGTTAATTTAAGACTTTCGTTTGATTAGTCGATGACCGCAACATTACCTTGCAGCTCAGTTCCCCAGGCTTCTTAGGGTCCCAGTCACTCGAATGAAAGGAAAGTTGTTCTTTAAATTTTTACTTTTAATTTTCCTCTTTAAACAGAGGAGGGGAGGGGAGAGGGCTGAAGTTTTACATTCACTAAACAGGCGAAACGATAGAAATTTCTGAATGCCGCGTACGAAAAACAAGGAGTGAGTGCGAAGACTTAAATTTGGACATTGATTCAGAATATACGGAAACATTCAAAGAAATTGATTTCTACTTTACACTTTATTAAGTTTTCTAAAATCTTGATCTTCTAAAAGAGCTAGCTTTCCTTTTAGTAATGCCGAATATTTACACAGATTGCAAGAATTTTGTGTTTGTATATCATCCCTCTGGCCAGTTTTAAAAAGGTTCTTTGGTGGTTTTTATGATGGTGTTGAAAAGCCATCTTTAGATTTTATCGTTTTGAATGAAATAGTTAAGATGGAAGCCATTATAAAAGTCGAGGACAGCAGTAAACAATTTTTAAAATAAGAATAGAGACAAAGTTAGTGGAAAAAAGAAACGCAATTGACCCACAGTCGATCAGTAATTACAATGAATATCGATATTTTGAAAATTCTGATACATGGTATGTCTACATACGTTAACACAACGTTGTAAAAAGCTGTCTCAAGATTTGTTGCTAACAACTAATAAATTATCTGTATCAAATTCAAGATGTGTTGTCTCACTGACTCAATGTACCGATTGCTCGGTAACTGACACCTTTGCCAGCACTCGTGGTTATATACTACCCTTTCAAATGCATCACCAACGATATCAAATAGAATTGTGTTCTTCGCGATTCGATAATATAGCGAGTTAATTTGATAAATTAGTTTTCACAAGAGTAATTTTAAAAATGAAATGACTCTCAACTGGTAAAAAATTTAAAACGATTAACTTTTATGTAAAAAGTAAAGCCTTTATACAGGCCCAAGTGGCCCACGGTGCCGGCGCTTAATTCCGGTTTCCCTCAGCATGAAGCGGCTAGGAGTATTGCTACTCCTCCCTGGATGGAATGCTAGTCCATCGCAGGGTTACCCCCAGCATATTTGCTGGTACCCATTTGTACACCTGGGTGAAGAGAAGCACTGTGAGAGTAAAGTGTCTCGCCTAAGAACACAACGCAATCACCCCGGCCAGGTCTCGAACCCGGACCACTCGATCCAGAGTCAAGCGCACGATCCATGAGGCCACCGCGCCTTCTTGTTTTCTATTGTGATTCTACCTCACATCTGAAACCCCTAAGAGTGACCGGCTTTTAAAATCTCCTTACAGTATCACCATTGAATCAAATGTAAAAGTCATGAGAATAATAGAAATGATCACTAATGTAACAAGCTCCTGATGATCAAAACAAATTCTCCTTGGCATTTTTAAGGGAAATATGGTGTGGACAATATAAATGCTCATGTAAGGGTGCCAACGTTTAACTTTTCTATAGAGTACAGAATGTGTCCTAAGTGCAGCATCAAGAAGCTATTTCAACAGTCGGTTATAATCCAACAGAGACTGTTTTTAACTCGTTTGATTTCTTTTTCAGGGAAGTTTCTAAGCATGTACATAGGCGCCACAATGTAAAACTACAGGACACAGATTGTTTTCAACAATACCGAGGATTTTTGTGAGTTCATTTTGATGATGTTTGTTGTTCTTTAGATTCGATGGTGTAAATATTGGAGACGTTCTAATGAGTGGGAGAGAGGGGGCCTATTACTGAGAGGGGAATATGAGAGAAAGAGGCTTATCAGGGAGGGGCACTTTCTAAGGAGGTGAGATAATTAGAGAAGGGGAGCTTGTTAGAGAGGGGGAGCTTGTTAGAAGGAGGGGCTTATAGCCAGAGAGGGTACCTACTAAGGAGGGAGATATTTAGAGAGGGAGAGCTTATTAAAGAGGGAAAGCTTGTAAGGAGAGAAGCTTATAGAGATGGGTGCTTACTTAAGAGAGGATTTTATTCGAGAGGGGGCGAAAAGAGACTTGTTAGAGAGGGGACATGATAGGGAGGAGGTATATTAGAGAGGGGCTGTTTAGATGTGGGGCTTATCAGAAGGGGAGGGTTATTAGAGAAAGGGGCTATTAGGAAAGGGGCTCACTAGACAGGGAGGTTTGCAGAGACTTATATGTTTGAAAAAAAATTTAGCAGAAGAAATTAAAATTTCTCAAACACCCCTTCCAGAAAAATAATGGTTCGACCCATGGCTTGTTTCGCTTGCTGCATCTCAAATCGAGATGGATCGCGTTGACATGTAGCAATAAAGTTGTTTAAAGATTGCAGTTTGTTAACATGCGCGGATTGAAAGTTGTAATCTAAGCGCCATAAAATTACATCGAAATGTGGAAGTAAAATTGCCGATGTCAGCTCAACGGGATTTCGTTTTAATTAAAACCGCGTTCTGGAACTAGCGTACGTGAGAAGATCGTTCTTTCCACGTGCGCCCCGGGCTTTCTTGTACATAAAATCCTTGTTGTGAAACGAGCGCATGTGGAAAGTTCGTTCATTTCATGTGCGCCCCACAGGACGTTGAAAAGACCAGCCAAGTGGAACTACAAATATAAAACGTAACTCTGGGACTGGGACTGAATGTACTAATATTCCAGTTGTGTATGTTTTCTTTCTTTAGGTCACAACAACCACATTCGCTGCATCACACACTTCCCCACAGGAGCAGCGTTTGTCTCGTGTACCGACGACTTTGGAGCGAGGTTTTGGTACTGGGAGGGAGTACAGAGAATTCCTCCACCGACTGCATTGGAAGTTTAGAATTCGTGTCTTTTACGCCGATCTTTAACACAAATATAAAGCTACAGTTACAACTTCAATTTCTCCCTAAATCGTCTCAGAGTTTCAGCCTTTTAGGTGCTTTACCTGTCATTCTATATTGGTTAAACTCGTTTGGCTCTATTTAATCTGTGAGACAAAAAATATAATCTAACGCCTTTTCTCTTTTGTTGTTTTATTTATGATTACTCTTACAGCAATTTTCAATTAAGTGCCGAATGTAATCCGGGATTGTTTTGTTTTCGCATTATTTCACTTTGTGATTGGTCCAGGTCTCCTAATCTCTCAACCAATCAGATGCAAAACTAAAGCCAATTACGACTTGGTCGCTCGCGTTTTCCCGCGCTTTTTGTAAAACCTTTTAAGGAGAAAAGATATCGATCACAAGAACATTTTCTCTTCTTCCCACTGGTCGTTGTTATTAATTTGGTTTTGGTTTTATGACTCTCGATTGAAAAGCGCTCTACGGCTCTTACCATTATTATTGTTAGTATTATATTACTGTTTAGGTTCAATAAATGAACAAATACGTTCACCTTTCGCCCTTTAACGCCTTGATAAGATTTACATGTGAATTCTCCATACAAAACTATCTACACGATATCTATCTGATAACAAATCAGAGTAAAAAAACTCATCAATCTGGGAGCGATTTCTTTTTTTTATGTTTCCTGACATAATACCGAACTGATTCTCCTTATCAATTTAGAGAGAAAATTATGGAAGCTGGTAACGAGAATTAAGAATCAAATCTGAGGAAAATAAAAAGGTCAATCACTTTTTGTGACCTCAAGTGAAAAGAAACAATTCCATAATTTTCGCAACGTGAAAAATTCACCTAATATTTCCTGTTTTCAATTTTTGAATCGTGTGATCATCTTTGTTCCTTCTTGGTAAACATAATACAACTTTTGGGCGAATTGCATCATCTGCTAAGCAGCTGGGCCGTGTTAAAAAAAAGCATGCAAAATAGCGGTGCAGATTTAAAAGTTTTTGCCTAAGGTACCACCAGTTTTCTTCGAGAGGGAGGAAGAGTGTTTGTCCAGGATCAGTTGCCACTCTGTCCCTTGTCTCCTTTATTCTCGTCCTCTGTCGGCTCTTTCTTGCCTAAAACAAACATTTTGAGTAAAGATCATAAGTGAGATATGTCCAAAAATGCATGCAGTAACGAAAATGGCGAATATTCGTCAAAATCGTCAAATCCGCCGAGCTGATTTCCGCTTTGACGAAATTGACTAAAATTGGCCAAAATCGTCAAATCCATGAAAGTTCACTCGCTTTGATGAAATTTCGTCGAGTCTGCCATTTTCGTTATTGCGGGCATTTCTGGACATAAGTGGAAACTTTTTAGGAGAGAGGAAATCAAGTTTCCATCATCAGGTGGCTGTTGTTTTTTGACTTAGCTTGTCCACGGTATTCATACATTTATCAATAAATCGATTAATCTATTTATCTATCAATTAATTTTTCTCAGATAGCAGTTGTTGCACGCATTGACCAATGGCTTAAATGTTAAATTTCTTACAGACTGAAATAATCCTACTGAACCATGATCAGAATGTGCTCTTTGTGCATAAGATTAAATCTTATAGTCACACAATTTTTTCTTCACAAGCAATGGTGGATAATGTTACTTCTACAAAATCAGTCATCAGAAATAAGCTTACCTTAATTTCTGTAAGTCAAATGTCACGTTGTCTCCCATAAGTACAAATGGAGCCCATTGGCGAGGTTCAGTGAAGCCGTTGCTTCTCAACCATTTGATGGCCTGATGAAGGGACTCACTGGCACTTTCTCCACCAGCCAGGTGTTCGTAGAAATGATTCATGAGCTGCTCTGTTGCTTCGTCTTGTATGGCCCAAGATGCCACCAACACTGAACGTGCACCAGATGCTAGGAATGCGCGGGCGATTCCAATGACTCCCTCCTGTTTGAAGGTTCCACGCCCACTGTGACAACAACTAAGTACGACCATTTTAGCACGCAGCTTAACCTTTGAAATGTCGGACATTGTCAAAAGGTAGTCTTCTTCTTGTGGAATACCGTTCGTAGCACAATTAGGGGTAAGGGCAATCTCTCCTCTGTCGGCATGACCATGAGCAGCAAGATGTATTAGACTCACTGAATGAAGTGCGTGAAGTACCGCCTGCTTTGTTGCGTGTTCTCCTAACAAAGGCTGAACCCCCAGGAGTCGACCAACCATTTCTGCTTCCTTTCTTGCACCGGACAATGGTTCCAAGTTCAGAGTACGTCCTCTGTATTGCACTTTGCCAGCCTTAGGATCACCCACTACCAGTGCACCGGTCTGACTGTGGTAGTCCGCTGGACATTCCTGGATGATCCCGAGAGTCGTGAGAGAAGGGACGATGCGGATTCTGTGGGTTTCTGATAAATACTTTCCTGCTGGCTCATCCCGTAAGGCAGCAAAAGGGACTCGGTAGGAACACCTCTCAGGTACAATGATGACTTCAGGCTCTGTAAGTAAATCTTTTACAGGAGCGATAATTTGGTCATAGCACAACTGAAGAATACTTTCGTTCCGTTTGATTTGGTCACCTTGCAAAGGTGCTCGGCTCTGTTCTTGAGGAGACAAGGAAGTGTCGTCACCTAGAGATCGATCTTCACAATTCTCATTAAGTAAAATTCCGAAACTGGAGGCACTCTTTTTAAAAATATCCTCCACATCGCAAACGAATACAGCAATGAGGGTGTCGATTTTCATTTCGGGGCTCACTCGATGGTCAATGTGTCCATTTGCTTTTAAGACCCACAGATGAACATGTCGTTCACAATATGAAATGTACAAAACAGCACAATTGCTCTCTTTACTCGCAATGCTCTCGATCCCAGGCCGATATGTTGAATCAGTTGAGATGTGGCTTTCAGTTAAGAGTTTGTCCGCCATTAATTCTGCAAGGCCTCTAGCACGTCTCAGCTCCTCCACATTGAGAGAATCTCGCAGGCGTCCGTTGGCACGCAGCATTTCACGCAACAACTTGTAGGGGAAATTACCGTGCTGTTCCAAGAGAGACGTTTTAAATTCATCGTTTCCTTTGAGAAAATTTCGCAACTTTTCATAAATTTCAATACTTTGACGAAGATACTGCATTGCATCCTCTAACTTTGATTGCGACATCTTTACCCGAGTAATACCGAGGAGGCTCTTAAAGTAAATCATATTGTCTCCAATTTTGCTGCTCATCGAGCGCGCTTTGTCAAAGAATTTCTCCGATTGGTCATAATTTCCAAGCGATAGAGAAACAGCTCCAAGTTTTAGGTAACTCAATCCTTGTCCTTTCTTATCACCAACGCTCATGCTGATAGTTAGCATTTTTTCGTATAGTTCTGTAGCCTTCTGGTAGTCATGAAAAGAATAAAACACATCTGCAAGGCCTGCGTAGCAACATCCTTCACAATTTCTGTCGCCAGTTTCTGTACTGATGGTAAGGGCTTTGTCAAAATGTTCCTTAGCCGCCTTATTTTTACGAAGTGATAGAAACACACCTCCAAGGTTCACGTAGCATCTCCCTTCTCCTTTCCTGTCGCCAATTTCGGTAACGATAGCAAGTGCTTTCTCGTAATATTCTTTAGCCTTCTGATATTCACCGAGTGATTCAAACACACATCCAAGGTTCCCGTACTGTGTTCCTTCTCCTTTCCTGTCGCCAATTTGTGTTGCGATAACAAGTGCTTTCTCGTGATATTCTTCAGCCTTCTGATATTCACCGAATGATCGAAACACACATCCAAGGTTTCCGTACTGTGTTCCTTCTCCTTTCCTGTCGCCAATTTCTGTAACGATAGCAAGTGCTTTCTCGTAATATTCTTTAGCCTTCTGATATTCACCAAGTGATTCAAACACACATCCAAGCTTCCCGTACTGTGTTCCTTCTCCTTTCCTGTCGCCAATTTGTGTTGCGATAACAAGTGCTTTCTCGTGATATTCTTCAGCCTTCTGATATTCACCGAATGATCGAAACACACATCCAAGGTTTCCGTACTGTGTTCCTTCTCCTTTCCTGTCGCCAATTTGTGTTGCGATAACAATTGCTTTCTCGCAATATTCTTTAGCCTTCTGATATTCACCGAGAGATAGAAACACATCTCCAAGGTTCCCATAGCATACTCTTTCTCCTCCCCTGTCGCCAATTTCTGTTGCGATAGCAAGTGCTTTCTCGTGATATTCTTTAGCCTTCTGATATTCACCGAGTGATTCAAACACACATCCAAGGTTCCCGTAGCATACTCTTTCTCCTCCCCTGTCGCCAATTTCTGTTGCGATAGCAAGTGCTTTCTCGTGATATTCTTTAGCCTTCTGATATTCACCGAGTGATTCAAACACACATCCAAGGTTCCCGTAGCATGTCCCTTCTCCTTCCCTGGCGCCAATTTCTGTTGCGATAGCAAGTGCATTCTCATGATATTCTTTAGCCTTCTGATATTCACCGAGTGATTCAAACACATTTCCAAGGTTCTCGTAGCATACTCTTTCTCCTCCCCTGTCGCCAATTTCTGTTGCGATAGCAAGTGCTTTCCCATGATGTTCTTTAGCCTTGTTATATTCACCAAGTAATTTAAACACACATCCTAGCCTGCCATAAGTGATTGCTTCTCCACTTTTAAAGCCAATTGTGTTATTGATTGCAACTACGCTTTCAAAAAGTTTCTTGGCTTCTGCAAACCTACTTCTTCGTAAATATTTGTCTCCCAGTTCTTTCATTGATATTCCAGCATTGTAGAATATGTCAATAAGTTTAATGGTGTAACTTATTGCATTTGTGTAACCAGAGATTGCATAGTACGCATTAAATATTACCTCAGAGACATCAAGGCCATTAATATCAGAGTCTAGGTTGTTGAGTAAGATTACACATTCATCACACAAATCAGAGGCTTGTATACCACGATCAGTCTTCAGAAGATATGTGGCAACATCCAAACCTATTTTGATCTTCTCTAGGATTTCACGCGTGTTATTCATCGCTCTTTTGTGTCTTACAGAATGCCTTCCTGAAATGAAATAAGTAAAAAATAGAGAAAACTTGAATAACTAAATTAGATGATGACTTTTGGAAGCCATCTTCGTGCAACTATTTTTCAGGCAGAACGCTCACTTTCCATGAAAGCTTGTTGGTTTAAGCGTGACATTCCCTTTTTCGTTTTTCCCCATAATTTATTATCTGTGCATGGAAACAACAATTGTTGAAAAATTGTGAAAAAAATTGTGTAAAAATGCGTAAAAACATCCAATTTTGAGACCCAGCCTATCGCGGGGGAGGGCAGGGGTGCCTCTCAGAACCTTTACCAGATTTTTACCTCAAAATCCCGAAAGTATGCGACCCATCCTGGTAACTATATTGAAAATTCATCTCCATAATAGTCAATCCATAAAAATATCACTGCTCCTCCAAATCGTTACCAGCTTTAAGAGGGTCTCAATGGGGCGAGCTTTTACGGTCATTGTTTGAAATTTGGGACATTTTACGGCTAAAGCTGAATTTCTTTCCGTTGCGATTAAGAGAAAAATTTTCACGGTTAATTTTTTACGACTCTTGGTTAAAATGTGTCGATTTTTCTGCCATTTTACGTTCAACCCCATTAACCCCACTTAAAAATCTCCTATCACCAAATTTCAGCAAGCTTATTTTAGAAATATATCAGGGTTTAGAGAGATAGAGTATAAATGAATGAGTTTTTTAAAGCTACATACCTTTTAAAAAACGCAAAGTTTCCGAGCTAAGTCTCCTGATCGTTTGATGGATAAAACCAAAATCAAGAAACTCCCTGCAAAACAAAGATTTATGAAAATAGCTAGTGTAAATAAATTTAAAAAAAAAACAATAACAGTAATAGTAGCAATAATTACCAGTTAGACTGAGATGAGATAAATGGAATCTTTCTCTACTTCTGAGATTGTTTGAAAAGCTGGATGCTCTATCATAAAGATTTCACTGAGTTTTGGTCCTAAATATTTCAGTTTTCAGAGACGAGAGAAGAATATTACTCCTGTTCATTCTCCTTCTTACCTTGCAAAAATAAATCGTGTCTCTTTCGGTGTTATTTCTGATAGCATGACAAACGAAACCAAAATCAAGAATCTGGAAATAACAATTCCCGCAAGACAAAGATTGGAGAAAATTAACTCGAGTGAAGACAAATTACGATCTTGTTCTGTAAAATAATGATAATAATAAAAATGATAATAGTACTAACAATAATCAAATTACTAAAAAATGTTTTAACATTCTTTTTCCTCATTTCTGTTTGTTAAAGAAAAAACCTCTTACAGAGAAGAGGAGTAATATCACCGATGATGATACGAACACATTTTTCACAGCGTATCATTAAGATCTCATTACTAATTCTCTTTACTGTCTTCCTGATACAGTTCTTGTGATGATGGTTTGGAAAATTTAGTATTGGATCAACTTATAATCCCGTAATTGATATATTTTTTTTATTCTCATCGCTTGTCTGCTTGATATTGTATTGATATTGTAAGGAGAAATTCTGTCTTGGTCACTCATGGAAGTTAAAGGGTTAACCTCTTGGAAAAATTGCAAGACGACTAAAAAGTGACCTTCACCGCTCACACCGGTTTTGAAGACTTCAGAGCTACAAAGTTATTAAGGGGGAAACGAGCATTTTATAATAACAGTTGCGGCATTTTGCAAGAATAAATGCATTTTGTAATACGCATTGCAGAAATTTGTGACAAAATCGAGTCACGCATTAATTTATGGTTGCAACATTTTGTAGTAATCGTCGGTCTGTGCAATTTCTAACAACATCCTACGGCAAATTGTAATATGTTGCTCTTGCAAAAAAAGTATCATTCCACAGACTAGGTATTTGCAGTTTTCCTCCTCTGAATAATGATTTGAAAAGCATTAAGATATAGGCATCAGACGGCAAAACACATTTGCAAAGGCTACAGAAATATACCCAACCGTAAAGGCACACAGAACCGCGCACTGGTTGTGGGCACAAAGTTGGCAAGATAACATTTTCCGCCTCATATCCTTTACAAAACAACAATGTAAACATCTGTTTTCTTTTGGAACCAGATCGACACAATATCATAAAGAATATACCACTTTCGTGACTCGTGCACAAAAGATTGTCACAAGAATATTTAATCTCACCTCAAACAGGCTCAGAATCAGATCTGTTTCATCGGTGAAGGGTGATTCTCGCTTGCTTGCCTGCTGTGGATCAATGGGAACTTTGTCAAACATTCAAAAGTTCTGTTTTTGTGTGGATGTTACTAAAATCAGGAACGGGGAGCGCAGATCGCAGAACGGAGTACGGGGAACGGGGAACGCTGAGCGGCGAACGTGGAACAAGGAACCGGAAACGGGGAGCCGGGAATGACAGTCTTCTATTCAGACCCTTTTTCCGTGTTGTTATCCGCCATTTTAAACTGTTATGCGGATTACCGCTGTACTTTCGTTCCCAGTTCTTGTTCTTGGTTTCCCGTTCCCCGTTCCTGATTTTAATAATAACATCCATCTCGTGTTGACCCAAATTCAAACTGTTGTTTGTGTTTCAGTGTCTCTACAGATGTGTGATAAGCTTTTATTTCATTATTTATGCGGATGTAAAATGAACTGTTTCAGAACGGTTGGACTAATCAACACATCTATAGTCTAAGCAGTCAGCTTTTGCTGTTGTTTGGGATAAGTAAGCGTGAGCTGCTCTGGTCAGTTATCGAATCTTCAACAACGCTGGTCTTCCCCCCGAACAATCCCCGGGCATTCGACTGTCGTCTGTGCCCAAGGAGAAAGTAATTTAAACTTGCCAAGGAGGGATGGAAATCTAAACTGAAAGTAAATTTAAACGAGCCAATCTTCAACAGTTCAAATACCCGGGGGGGGGGGGGTCTCCCTGAAAGGGATGTTGAATTTTTTAACTACTCGACACATAATGGGTTTCTTTTGTAGAGTGTACATAGAAATGACGTTGAGCTAAGCTGAAACCAGCTAAATGAAAGTTGCACATCTACACTAATGAGGCGTTGTAATTCGAAATGGCATAGTTTTGGTTGCGTTTTTGCTTATGAACACGGAGACTTCCGTCAACAGTTTTAAAAGTGGAGCATTTTGAAAACGCTCCTTTTCTCCGAAGACAAGTGAAAACGAAGGCTTTTGAAAACGTTGACCAAAACATTCGTTCCATACATACTCTATATATTTCTCTTTGCGTTTCAGGTGATTAGTTAATGTTGAGGAGAGTCGCAAATGCATCGAAATGTGCGTTTCCAGTTTAAACAAATTATTCTGCGCAGTGAAGACCGAAACGAACACTAGTGTGGCAAAAAATATTTTCTTTCTTTTTGTTGGACACAAGAACTTACTCTTTTGAAACCGCTTAGTGTGTTCGGGGCCAAATGGGCAAGGTATTTTTTTCGTCTTCAATATCCATTAGATTTCTTAAAAGTAGATCCGAAATTGTCAAAGTGTCATAAGTGATAACTTCGTTGCTAGCTCGGATCGGAATCCACCAATCACAACATTATGTTGACCTGGTAATCTTTGGATTTCAACTTCCACAAGTGAATAATCAGAAAACAATCTCGAGTTTGATCTCGAGTTGAAATATTATACATCGTCAGTGCATGCCCTGAAAATTGGCGCCAGAGCCAGTTTTATGTTGCATGCTTGCGATGTTACAGTGTGATTCCAAAGTTCGAAGGCTATCGAATAGTGTGGTGTAGCAGAGGGGGAATCTTTGTAGAGTCATGGCGAAATCACATAAACCTTCTCGTGATGTTACAGCAGAGAAGAAAGCTGGTACATTGAAATCTGGTGTTGCAGCCGATAAGAAGAAAAAGAAAGTGAAGAGAAAGGAAAGTTATTCACTGTACATCCACAAAGTGTTGAAGCAAGGTCATCAAGATACTGGAATTACAACCAAAGCCATGGGTATCACGAACTCTTTCGTTAGCGACATTTTCGAGCGCATAGCTATGGAGGCATATCGCCTGACAAAGTACGGTAAGAAGTCGACAATGAGTTCCCGCGAAATCCAAACTGCTGTACGGCTGCTTCTGCCAGGTGAAGTTGCAAAGCATGCAGTCAGCGAAGGCACAAAGGCTGTCACCAAATACACAAGCAGCAAGTGAACGAGGAGTACGATATTTTCTTTAAATCCAATGGGCTTACGTCTGTGTAAATCTGCGATCAACCAGTCAACAGATGCTGTTATAGTTTATTTTATTGTTAACTCAGCCAAGGTTTAAAGCGGTAGAGATGCTTAAATAAATTGCGTTTCAAAAACAAGTTTTCCAACTTTTCTGAAATGACTTGACGTGCGCATATGGCACTTTCCATTGTAGTTTTGTAAGTTGTTGAATAACTGTAAGTTGTACAATAACTAGCCGTCCATTGAAAAAAGATGTCGAATTTAGATTGAGTGATTAGCTTCTGTATTTCGCAATATCTTTGCCTTCACTGAAATTAAAAGAGAAGGCGTTTCACTCGGAGAATTCTCTGATAGCTTGTCCCTAACTATTGACATGCAGACCTTACAGCACTCGCCGTGTTGTAGAGTTTGAAACAATATTACGAAAGACACACAAATTGGTCGTGCGATGGGCTGCAAATAAGTTTTTGTTGAGTTATTTTTTTTTATAAAAAAATAAATAACTCTATGTTAACGAGTAGAGTGGTATGTTGTTTGCACCAATCAGATTGCCGCATTTGGTTATGTATCTCGCACCGATCAGATTGCCACATTTGGTTATGTATCTCGCACCAATCGGATTGCCGCATTAGGGTATGTATCTCGCACCAATCATATCACAGCATTTAGATGTCTTGCACCAATCACGGCCTTTGGGTATTGTTTTGTTATAAATTATGTCATGGAATCAGGGTGCCGTGCACAGAGAACGAAGTTAAACAGAACATTTGGGCCCATTTGATGAGTGTAATGGCCTTCGCGAGAGCCTCGTCGATTGAGGTCGAGACTTATTAGGATATGAAAGGTTTGTATTTAACTTGTTGCATCATTTTTTTTTTAGTTAAAACGTGTTTTTTTTCGCTCCTTTTTCTCACAACGCATACGCCAAACAACTAACATTCCATCGCGTTCTATGAAAACAACGTCTAAAGTCCGATCAGAACATACCCAATCATTGCACTACATGCACATTACACCATTTTTCACGTGCTTGAATTTTATTCCACCAATCTGATTCCACTTGTCCATGTTAGACTATGCTCTATCACGTGCCATCTCCTAGTGACCAACTTACATTTTATCACATATTCAAACCGTATTATCCAACCCCACTGAAAAAAAATTTACATGAAACTTAATGCTACTGATACCGGCTATTTCACCCAATTCTCCCGCGTTTTGACTTTTCCACAAATAAAATTCGCTTTTAGCTGCGTTGGACCTAACCCCTTGCGTGTTAATTCCTTCTAGACAACCTGCCTTTTTTTACCTTTTTTTACGCCCTGAGGGCAAAGTTCAGAAAGGCAACGATCAATCAAGGAGACCTCTTTGAATTATTATCCTTTTTTCTCGTTCAGTGAATCTAAACTTATTCGAGATCGCAATATAATCTTGGTTAGGGTCTATTGGAGATACAAAAGAGTTTCAGGTTGCTTTTCGTTGTAAAACTACGTGGAATGATATTTTTGTTGAAAGCGTAGTCTCTTCCGCAACCGTCACGTCAAGTGCTCTCTCTCCAACGGGGAATATAGGGTGTTATGTGACGAGACCAAACAATGGCTACGAAGGAGACTACAGTGAGCGTGGCACCGATGTATTTTATTTTTGCTCAAAATTATTAAGACAATAGAGAAAATAGACCCCAATATACCTGCGTGAGTCTGGATTAATTAGGTTTTTTTCTTTCTCTTAAAGTGAAATAATGCGATATTTTCGTTCTTTTGAAAGTTATGAAAATACTAGGAACAGAAAGCGTCCCAGCTCGAACTACGCAGCTTAAACAAATAACCCTTGCATGCTACGCATGCCTATGTTTTACAACTGCGGAATATTTATTACAAGGCAATGAAAAGCGATGGAATATTGCCTGCCTTCCCTTCGAAACGATCTGCTGTAGACTCATACGCGAAAACCTCCTTTCCTTTTTCTTAGTTTTCCAGACTCGTATTTTGTCGGACCATCGTCCAGTGTGAGAGCAAAACTAGAGCTGCATAGGGTAATATCGAATGCGAATGTAAGGGGTTTGTTTCTTTGGAGCTTTCGTGCGTCGATCTACGTTTCCCCACGGGGGAAAAGCAGCTGGAAACTGAGACTCTTCTTGAAAAATTATTTGTGGTATTATAGAAATACCAGAATTGTTGATTCTCAGAAAACAACAGAGGATTTCGGGCTATTTCAAATAAAAATAATGCCAAGATTTTGTGATGTTTTCTCTACCGCTTCATTAAAACCATATGCTAATTTAAGACTTTCGTTTCGCGAGCCGATGACAGCAACATTACCTTACAGCTCAGTTCCTTAGGCTTCTTGGGGTCCCAGTCACTCGAATGAAAGGAAAGTGGTTCTTTACACTTTTACTTCTAATTTTTCTCTTTAAAGAGAGGAGGGGGAGGGGAGTGGGCTGACGTTTTGCATTCACTAAACAGATGAAACGATAGAAATTTCTGAATGCCGCGTACAAAAACCAAGGAGTGAGTGCGATTACTTAAATTTGGACTTATAATCCAGAATATACGGAAACATTGAAAGAAATTGATTTCTACTAAACACTTAATTAAGTTTTCTAAAATCTTGATCTTCTAAAGAGCTAGCTTTCTTTTCAGAATAGACGAACATTTATACAGATTGCAAAAATTTTGTATTTGTGTATCATCCCCCTGGCCAATTTTAGAAAGGTTCTTTGGTGGGTTTTATAATGGTGTTGAAAAGCCATCTTCAGGTTTTGTCGTTTTTGAATGAAATAGATAGAAATAGATGAAAACCATTTATTAAACCATTTTGTTCATTTATTTATCGAATTTCGTTTTTGTTGTTTTTATATGATGCACCATACCGTGGTATTTGAAAATAAAAACGTTAAAACAGGTTTTACAACTTGACACACTTGACGCTGCAGTTTAATTCAACGTCATCCAACCTCCCGAATTTATGACTTTATAACTTTTATTCTTAACTCATATGTGTGTCAAGAGAAAGCTTCCCTCAGCATGAAACTAGACACCAAGAACAAAGTAAATTGAACTATTGAAATGTTTTCCTTCAGTACGCGCATGCGCGAAATGCTGACTACGAAGTTTTTCCTATACAAACTTATCCCATATGAGTTACACTGATTTTTTTCGGTTTTGACATGCATGTACCTTAAAGGGGCTCATTTAAAGTATTCTGAGTAAAATCCCTGGAAGAAATTTCTACAAAACTAGTCGGGTATTTGTAATGACAAACCAAATAATTACCGATCACTAACTCTAATTATGGGGTCTGTATACTTGTTTCTTTCAGTTTTGTTTTCATCTCTATGTTTATCATTAAAACATTCCTGAGATAGGAAGCGAGTTTCACTTATGTTCGCCGTCCTTTGTCTCCTCCGGATTCTTCTGTGATATCTTCACGCTTGCTGTCGTGACGGGATCATATTGGGCGTATACTGTTTGGGACTGTTCTTTGACAAGCTTTGCACTGTTTTCGCGGGAAAGGATCAGATCTGCGTACACAAGGCCACGGTATGGAGCAGGCTTCTACATCGAACATGGAACAGAGAATAATACCTTATGAGCAGATCGTGAAACAAGAAACATTAAATAACGATAGCAACACAGTAACGAGGTAAACAAATAAACAAACAAACAAGCAAACAACAACAGCAACAAAAACAACATTAAATGAGAAATAAAACACTAAAGATTGTAAACGAATCTGTCAGGATTTGTGAGATGTATTACCTGTGGCGGCTTCTTCTTCTTTTTTGTCATGTCAACAGCTGCGTACAAATATTCAGTGTTCCCGCCAGCCTGAGGTGCCTCGCTTCCTGTAGCTTCTGTGTTGTTGTCGAGCCCTGTGTCAGTTTGATGAGACGAACCATTCTCTGGTGTCAGAGACGGGGATTGATCTACACAGGACGCCCATTGCACAGGTAAACCACTTGTTTCTTCCTGAGGGCGGCCCGCAGTCTTTTCAAGGGCGCTCACTTCAGAACTGGCTCTGCCTTTTCTTTCTTTATGAACAACAGCGTATACATGATCCTTATTTTCTTCTTTTTGATCGCACAAAGCAGGTGGCTGTTGTATTCCTTTCTCACCACTCACCAACACTGTGTTTTCTGGCGCTCTTTCCTGAATATCTGAACATCCCTCGCTTACTGAACTCAACTTTCGATTAGCCTCAATGTTATCATAGCCGCACTCTCTTTTGCAGTCGCTCACTGTTTCGTAGGTGGCCAGCCCAGATTCCGTTCGTGAAAGGGTTAGGTGAACAGTGAGCTCAGCGGAGCTCTGTGTTTGTTGAACAAGCACAGGGACGAGTGATGACAGTTCAGAGCTCGAAGGCTTCTCGTAGGTGCACATGACACGATCTTCGTCTAAACATCATCTATGACGCAAGAAATTAGGCTTTACTGATATGTTAAAGAGATAAAAGCGCGCTGATTGCATTGTTGAGTTATATAGGCACTTGGGGAATTTTTAAGGACAAGAGAGGTGCGGAGAAGCACGAGCCGCAGGCGAGTGCTTCTCTCACTTCTCGAGTAACAAGTTTTTTTTGGTTCTTTTATAATAATATACGTGAAAAAATTACTCAGTTCTGATTGGTTAAGATAAATGCAGTTTTCAAATAATTCAACGAGGAAGAGCGTTAATTCAGTGCAAAGATAGTAACAACCAGACATTCTGATTGTTCAATAAACAAAGAAATTCACAGAAAGCTAATCAAATGCGAGCCTTGGACGTCTTAACATTTGGCTACTCTGAAAATTTGCGAGCGAAGTAATGGCCGGCGTTTGAAGTAGGCCTTCTTTCAACACCGCAACAACAATACAACAGCTGGAAAACAACTCTAACAACGAAAACACTGTAAAAAGCATTGCTTTTTGGTTGTCGATTTGGAAAAAGTGGTGTTTAGAGAGGGGAATCGTCAAGGCCGAAATGAAAACTACGAGCCGATCCAGCTTAACACTTTGCACGAGCGATTCTACGCCGAAATTAAAACAAACATGGTTAAACCTCGCAAACGACGATTTCATTCCATCGAAAGTGATTAGGACTCAGACCTAACAATTTCTTGAACTGTTTTGCCGGACTTTCAGCTGTTTTGTGCCTTATAGATGTGAAAATATCATTGAGTATTACTGTTTTGATCTTACGCCGTTGTTTTGACCGAATGCACAGGTTTGAATAAATTATTTTTGCACTTGATGCGCGCGCTTTGCTTCTGCGTAATTATGATTATTATAATTATAATTAATACGTAATCACATGATTTTTCTGGTGCAATTTGGAATACATAAGCACTTGTTAATTTTTTCAAAGACCACAAATTGCACGAGCCCGTAGGGCTCGTGCAATTTTGTTAGTCTTTGAAAAAATTAACTCGTGCTTATTTATTCCAAATTGCACTCGAAATCATGTGATTACCTATACTAAAATGTATCATGAATTGCGTGCGCTCGTACCGATGACATAGGCTGCGTGCCTTATATCTCAACAACGCACTTGTGTGACGTAAGGTGCGTGCTCTATGGAAATATAATGAACTCGTTCTGACCAATCACGGCGCGCGCATTTCTCTGAAAATTTGTTTTTGACTTTGATAATTTCTCTAATTAATGTTTTTAGGGTCAGCAGTTTTACATTGAATGACTGGGCAGTTGTAACATCAGTTCGTAGTGTCGCTGTACACCCTGATACTGCTTATCTTACTTCCGAACTTGTCTCGCTTTTGTAAGGAAGACCGTGGTACGCAAAAGACAACTGCCGTGTGTATCTCTAACTTAAGGACTATTTTTCGCTGACCTGGAGACAGGCGACAACCAGCCAAAGCAACGCGCCGAAGGGCATCTTATTGCCTCTCTATTTAATCAATTTGTTGCATAGCTTATTTTTCCTTTTATAACAAATGTTTTAATCGCTTCCAGGGTAGTGGTTTGCCAAATGTAACTGAGAGGCAAAAAAGAAATCTTCTCCTTTTTATATACTTAATAATAAGCAAAACTCTTTAAGTGTACTTAAATACGTATCAGTAATCTAGTGTATACTTACTCATTGTAACATAATTTCCATAGTTATCCCCAAAATCGTGCCACCAATTAATTTTCACCGTAGTTAGTGTTGAAAGAAAATAAAAAAAAATTAAAATTTTTTATAAAAAAAATAGGAAACGTAAGTTTGTTCTTTTCAGTGAAGGTTTTGGTCAAGGGTCGAGGGTGAAATGTCAAGGGTTCAAAAATTTCCTAATTCATTAATTGATTTATTTCTTTGCTTATTTAAAATTTGTTGTTATATCATTCCTTCTATCTCGCGGTCGTAAGATTTCCCACCCTTCTTCAAGTGTCAGCAATACCAGGATGTTAGCTCTCGTTTCCCCTCTTTAGCACTTTCTCCATTCTCCTATTTCACTCGCGCGTGTTTCAGTGAGTTATTCGTAATGGAGAGTTTTTTGACAGCGTTCTTCCTTCTCATTAATCTTTGTTGGAAGTCTTTTAATATTTTGATGAAAAAGACTTTCAGCTTTGCTCAGAGCACGTTGTTAAAAATCCTACCAAAAGTAAAACCACGATTTCATGAACTTCTATATAACGTAGTTCTTGATAGGAAGAACGATATTCTTTGCCCCAGTAATACGAAAATCTATGATTAAGTACCTCGATATTTTTAGTCCCTTAGTGGTATCAAAAAAGGAAACGCGCGAATGGCTAAGAGAAAAGAGCGGGGAATTTTGCGACCATAAGATACAAAAAAATGTTTATTAAAACTATAAATACCTGATTCATAGAACTTCACGAAGTCGATCGGAGGAAACTCATAGACGAACTTTACATCCTATGTACAAAAAAACCGGCGCAAAAATACGACTGCGACGCAGGTAGAGGGGAAGCGGAAGCGGAAGGAGACACTGATTACTCACTGATGGCTCGAAATTTGCTCTTGTTTTGAAGCCCATGGTCCAAATCGCCTAAACTTTATTGATTAATTTTTTCTCTGAAATACTTCAGCGGTCGAAACCCGTCACCAAAGAGGTTTCTTGATCGTTGAAAGAACCACCATAAATAACCAAGTTTTGTTTTGCGTGATCCAGGCGTGGATGTCGACAAGTTAATAAAACCTCTTGCGCTCGAGCAAACATAAGTAATAATAAACAATTAAATGAATAAATCCTTGACATATTTTGAACCCTCGCCCCTTAACATTTTAAGACCCTCGGCTCTCGACAAAAACCTATACTTCGTTCTTTTCGAAGCATTGTCAAAAAGTGAACGATGCATTAATGCATAAACTGCTGCAATTATCAGAAGGACATTTAAAATGGATTTTAAGTACATGCTCTTTTGCACAGTTGACTGATTACGTGGATAACTCAAGGTAAAAAGTAAAGGAGACGAAAGTAATGTAAAGACACACGAAAAGGATTGTTCCTCATGATAGAAAAAAGTTAGATACGAAACAAAAGAAAACACAGTGAAAGGCACTAACATTGTTTATCGTGGCGCCGACGTCTGCGAAAGAACATAAGGAGACGAAAGTAATGTAAAGACACACGAAAAGGATTGTTCCTCATGATAGAAAAAAAGTTAGATACGAAACAAAAGAAAACACAGTGAAAGGCACTTACATTGTTTATCGTGGCGCCGACGTCTGCGAAAGAACATAAGTCCGAAAGCGACTACAAGGAGCAGAATGAAAAAGGCCAGTAGCACCACAACAATCACAATCAAATTAGGCTTGCCAGCATGTACATCGTCTGCCAAGGGATATTCAGTGACGGTATTCCCTGACGTGACCCCTTATTTGATATATAAAAGAAGAGGCTGTTTCAGATAGGGCATGGAACCAAACGTTCAGATGCAACTTTTTAAAAATAGTAAAATGCTTTGATGAATTAAATCCACGTGTTAGCATTCTCGATACAAATTCAACGTTGCTCTCATCTATAAAATTTATACAAACACTGTAAAGTCAATAAAACGATGGTGATAATGATGGTGGTAACTAATAACAGAACAGACAAAGGAATGAAACGCATGGAAGTTGAAAAACTAGTGATAAATTTTTTTGTTTCTATTTTTTTAAAGGTTCTTTTCTGTATATCATACCAGTGCTTTGATGATTGCCCATCCATTTTTAAGGGAAGCGCAAATTAACAGTAACAGTGCGTTACGAATTTATTTTTTATGGGAAAATTACATAAATAAATAAATCTTTGCATGAAAAATGGTAATAACCAAAAAAAAGGGTGGATAAAAGAGGAACACAAAAATATAAGCATTTTCAATAAAAATTCAACGTTTTTCTAACATATAAAAATTGTAGAAATACTTGTAGGTAATAATAATGATAATGCTCACATGCATGAAAAATGGTAATAACCAAAAAAAGGGTGGATAAGCTTTTACCTGTTGTCGCAGTTGTAGATGGTCCTTTTACCCGAGCAGTTATCGATGCCTGTGATCCATCATTCAGTCCTAAATTAAAGAGGAACACAAAACCAAAGTTAGTAATTCGCTATTAGCATTTTCAATAAAAATTCAACGTTTTTTCTGATATATGAAAATTGTGCAAATACTTGTAGGTAGATATCAAAAATGGTAATAACCAAAAAAAAGGGTAGATAAGCTTTTACCTGTTGTCGCAGTTGTAGATGGTCTTTTGGCCCGAGCAGTTGTCGATGCCTGGGATCCATCATTCCGTCCTAAGTTAGAGAGGAACACAAAACTAAAGTTAGTAGTTCACTATTAGCATTTTTAATAAAAAGTCAACGCTTTTCTAATATATATTAACATTGTAAAAATACTTGTAGGTAGATATTAAAAACGGTAATAACCAAAAAAAGGGTGGATAAGCTTTTACCTGTTGTCGCAGTTGTAGATGGTCTTTTGACCCGGGCAGTTGTCGATGCCTGGGATCCATCATTCTGTCCTAAATTAGAGAGGAACACAAAACCAAAGTTAGTGATTCACTATTAGCATTTTCAGTAAAAATTCCACGTTTTTCTAACATAGAAATTGTACAAATACTTGCAGGTAATGATAATAATTCTCACAAAAGTGGTAACAACAAACCAAAACGAAGAACCAAAAGTATGCGCATTTTTTCTCTATTCGTTTAAGGTTTGTCTGTTCCTATTCTACGTACATATATGTATAAATTTAAAATTAAAGATTTGCAGGAGTTTCAAGGAGTAAGTCGAGAGAAGTTATGCCACATTACTGTGTTTATACTTACATTCAGCGCTGATTCACATCATCGTCTAGACATATTCGTTGGATAGGTCAAGCCTTCAACACTTACAACGCCAACACTTACCTGTTAGGGTGGATGCCGTCGCTTTCGCTGATTTTTTCTCTGGAAAAGAATATGAAAATTCACTTGTCATTTTAATTTTGTGATTTTATATCCTATTTTAAATGGAGCACAAAGCAATGGTAACAGTGTGGTATCTATACATGGAAAAAAAAACGAAAAAAATATATATATATACATAAACGAATAAATAGATATATTAAAATAATTTAGCCAATTGTATAACAAGAAGTCCTTATTGGCTCACTATTAGGATCCAAAGTGACTTCACGGTCTATCTAGCATTTATACTATGTTATGTAATCTTTTTAGCTTTCTTCCTCGGTGTAACTGACTTTCAAGAGAAGGACTGGGCCGTAATACGATTGATCTATTCTTATTCTCAGTTTCGTGTAATGTGAATAAAGGGTCTATTACCTCCTCCACCTTTAAATTCACATATGAATCCTGCTTGGGATAAGCGTGAAGTACAGCTGACATCATTATAGCGCCCAAAGTTATCAAGATAATCTCTGTACATTTGCGCGCAGTTCTCATCTTTGCCATTAGGTTGTCTAGCTGCCCAGGGCCAATGTCCTTTATTGGACGCATTGACTGTGCTGTTATCACTTAACCATCTCCACACTCCAGTTGATGTATCTTTCCTCAAACCTATGAAGTATTCAATGGTATCTTCTTTTTGGATGGTTTGATTCAGGAAGTTCCACTCCTCACGACTCTCAATAGAAACAAGGTTATATCCAGACTGTTCACATATTGTTTTGCTTCTTTCCCAATTGTACCAGTTACCATTGCTCCTATAGAAAATGTAGCTGGAACCACTGAAGTTCTTCACGGGAACTGAATGTAGAATTGAACAAAGACAAACCCTATTCATTAACTATTGACCTTATTGGCTGATAACACCTAAGGAGCAAGTTTAGAAGCAGAAACAAACTGCTCTAACAATAACATTCTTTGGAGTAAAATAGCATCCAAAACCAACTTAGGTGAACGTTTATTTAACTGTATTCGAATGTAAACAGCTCTCTTTGGTCCTTATAGGTATGGATCTAAATCGGAATTAATCCATTCTTTTTCTTGTTTTGTTTTGTATTTTGCTACTTGTTTTTCGTTTTTTATTTGTTTTCTTTTGTTTGGTATGCGATTAGCTTCATACGAAGAATGTTTGCTCCCTTTTCAAAGTTCCACTCCTTACTGATCTGTCGAATGAGTATACTTCTTAATACACTTTAGGTTTATTTTAATGTTGGATCCTAGGTGCTAATGTGTGGAACAAGCACAAAGCCTGTTGTGCATTAATGTTATTAAACTATTTTTTCAACTAGCTCTCGAGAACGAGACAAAACCATAATTTCGGCTTTTTTTATCAAAAAAATGGCTGCATCGATTATAAATTTGGAATGGTTTCGTGGTGTCTGTGTTTCGTGGTGTCTGTGTTTCGACGATAAATTCTACAACTATTACCAAATTCGCAAACGAAAACACAGCGACTAAACTTACTGTTTTTTTTGTCCTAACTGTGCGACTGCTGAACGACAACTAACTGACACGACCGATTCGAATATTAATTAGACTTAAATTCCGGCATGTAGTGTGTTGCTCAGCCGTCCCAACGAACGGCGTTAATGTTAATGACCAAGTATTCGCCGGAACAGTCTGAATACATTGCGATATCTAAAGTGCGGTGAGCACTATTTGTCCTGCCAATTACAGTGCCATCCTTTTTAACTCGTGAATTGCGCGCATGCGCAAGAGCGAGTTGTAGATACGATGTGGGGAATGGCACTCGCTCGCTCGCTCGCTCGATTGGTCGATTCCTGTAAACTTTTTTTCAACTTTAGGCTTTTGAGTGCATTTGATAGTTTTTGGCGAGCAATAAACAAACGAAATGGCGACCTTTGTTGCTAAGAATAGTGGTGGGGTGAAAAAGAAGCCAATGATAATCTTAAAAGAGATTTTTTTTCTGTTGGAGTTTCAACAAGCGGCGCCAGCGACTGGCAGGCATGCAAGGATTCACACTGAAATAACAGAACAACTTTTGTTTTTCATAACATTGTAATTTACAATCCTTGAACTTGAAAACAATCCGAAGACTCACTGAAAATATCACTTACTGCGAAGCGCTCGGAGTTTACAGATGTTCAAAAGCTTTTTCTGTTATGGCGTGAGATTGAAGACAAAATCGATCATTACGTTTCGTATCGTGTGTTTTTCCTGTGTGAAGCAACAGTAGATGCCGGCGACTGACGAAATTACAAGTTAACACGAAAATCAAATAACATCTAAACAAACAATTTTAGCTATCGATTTTCAGATAATTTTTAAAGAACAATTTTCTTTTAAGTTTCAAGACAATTTGAAAATTCAAAATACATATTACCTACTAAAATGCGAAAGTTATACAGCACAAAATTGATAAATAGGCCTGAAATGAAATTCTATCTTGTTATTGATTATACGTTGCCTAGCACGTGACTAAAATCTACCCAGGTGGAAATCTAAAATGACGGTGGCAGTCTTGGCTTCGTTATATCACTCAAAACTCGTTCCCGTTTGTCTCATTTGATAAAGAGGGAATCATTAATGTTTTCATTAAGACAGTATTGCCTTGATTTTCTAATATTTACAATGATAGACAGTAAATTTCACTTTTCACCCACATTTACTTCCAACCTTTTCTTTTGAACCAGAAACAAAAATAATATACGTTTAAAACACATGACATCATCCACCTTGTCAAATGTAATAGCATGATCATTTCAATTGTAATGCCTTCTTATCCCAACGTTACTTTGTTTCTTTGCTGCATTAGCGAACTCTGAACTACTGCTCGTCCTCTAGATATAACAATCAACCACAAAATTTCCTAAACCAGATAACATTAAACATAATGCAAAAAATAATTTGTCAATTCACGAGTTTGCTCACAGAGCACTTTGATTTCTTTTAAAAAGCAAGCATACTTAATAGTCAGCTTTCAAAAAGAAAAGACATGTAGATGTTAGTCTAAACATTGTGCTTACCAGTATTACTCTTGGCGTAAATGGTTCTAGTTAGCACAAGAAGAGCAGAATATATCAGAAAACACACTTTCTCCATTTCAACAAACAACTGTCTCCCCCAGTCTGCTCAAGCTTTAGAAACAAAATTGTGTGGGAATCGCGGTATGATATGTGTATTAGGCCCTTCAGTTCCACACTCGTAAGCAGGTAATTTCGTCCAAGTCGAGCTAAGACAAGACTGTCAAAACCAAACACACGCACGCGCATCAAGCACGAATGTAGTTTCACTCTTTCAGCATCTGAAACATAATCTTTGTTTTCCTCTATAATTAGCTTAGAGCAACTGATTTTTCAGTTTCAAAAAATACTTTTTAGAAAACAGCCTTATCTCTTGAGACCTCTTTGAATTATTATCCTTTTTTCTCGTTCAGTGAATCTTAACTTATTCGAGATCGCAATATATTCTTGGTTAGGGTCTATTGGAGATACAAAAGAGTTTCAGGTTGCTTTTCGTTGTAAAATTACGTGGAATGATATTTTTGTTGTAAGCGTAGTCTCTTCCGCAACCGTCATGCAACGCGCTCTCTCTCCAACGGGGAATACAGTGCGTTATGTGACGAGACCAAACAACGGCTACGAAGGAGACTACAGTGAGCGTGGCACCGATGTATTTTATTTTTGCTCATAATTATTAAGACAATAGAGAAAATAGACCCCGATATACCTGTGTGAGTCTGGATTAATTAGGTTTTTTTCTTTCTCTTAAAGTGAAATAATGCGATATTTTCGTTCTTTTGAAAGTTATGAAAATACTAGGAACAGAATGCGTCCCATCTCGACCTACCCAGCTTAAACAAATAACCCTTGCATGCTACGCATGCCTATGTTTTACAACTGCTGATTATTTATTACAAGGCAATGAAAAGCGATCGAATATTGCCTGCCTTCCCATCGAAACGATCTGCCATAGACTCATACGTGAAAACCTCCTTTCCTTTCCTTAGTTTTCCAGACTCGTATTTTGTCGGATCACCGTCCAGTGTGAGAGCAAAACTAGAGCTGCGTGGGGTAATATCGAATGCGGATGTAAGGGGTTTGTTTTTTTTGGAGCTTTCGTGCGTCGACCCACGTTTCCCCACGGGGGAAAAGCAGCTGGAAACTGAGACTCTTCTTGAAAAATTATTCGTGGTATTATAGAAATACCAGAATTGTTGATTCTCAGAAAACAACAGAGGATTTCGGGCTATTTCAAATAAAAATAATGCCGAGATTTTGTGCTGTTTTCTCTGCCGCTTCATTAAAACCATATGCTAATTTAAGACTTTCGTTTCGCGGGCTGATGACCGCAACATTACCTTACAGCTCAGTTCCTTAGGCTTCTTGGGGTCCCAGTCACTCGAATGAAAGGAAAGTGGTTCTTTACACTTTTACTTCTAATTTTTCTCTTTAAAGAGAGGAGGGGGAGGGGAGAGGGCTGACGTTTTGCATTCACTAAACAGATGAAACGATAGAAATTTCTGAATGCCGCGTACAAAAACCAAGGAGTGAGTGCGAATACTTAAATTTGGATCGGCTTATAATTCAGAATATACGGAAACATTAAGTTTTCTAACATCTTGATCTTCTAAAGAGCTAGCTTTCTTTTTAGAAGTGCCGAACATTTATACAGATTGCAATAATTTTGTATTTGTATATCATCGTCCTTGGCCAGTTTTAGAAAGGTTCTTTGGTGGGTTTTATAATAGTGTTGAAAAGCCATCGTTAGGTTTTGTCGTTTTTGAATGATATAGATAGAAATAGATGAAAACCATTTATTAAACCATTTAGTTCATTTATTTATCGAATTTCGTTTTTTTTTTTGTTTTTATATGATACACCATACCGTGGTATTTGAAAATAAAAACGTTAAAACAAGTTTTACAACTTGACACATTTGACGCTGCAGTTTAATTCAACGTCATCCAACCTCGGGAATTTATGACTTTATTACTGAATTTATATTCTTAACTCATCATTTCGACTATGCGTGAAGAGAAAGCTTCCCTCTAGCATGAAACTAAACACCGAGAAAATAGTGAATTGAACTATTGAAATGTTTTCCTTCAGTGCGCGCATGCGCGGGACGCTGACTACAAACTTATTCCAACACAAACTTATCCCATATAAGTAATATTGATTTTTTTCGGTTTTGACATGCAAGTGCCTTAAAGGGGCTCATCTAAAGTATTCTGGGTACACTCCTAGGAAGAAATTTCTGGAAAACTAGTCGGGTATTTATAATGACAAAGCAATTAATTACCGATCACTAACTCTAATTATGGGGTCTGCATACTTGTTTCTTTCAGTTTTTTTTTCATCTCTATGTTTATTGTTAAAACATTCCTGAGATAGGAAGTGAGTTTCACTTATGTTCGCCGTCCTTTGTCTCCTCCGGATTCTTCTGTGATATCTTCACGCTTGCTGTCTTGACGGGATCAATTTGGGCGTATACTGTTTGGGGCTGTTCTTTGACAAGCTTTGCACTGTTTTCGCGGGAAATGATCAGATCTGCGTACACAAGGCCACGGTATGGAGTGGGCTTCTACATTGAACATGGAAAAGAGAATAATACCTTATGAGCAGATCGTGAAACAAGATACATTAAATAACGATAGCAACACAGTAACGAGGTAAACAAATAAACAAACAAACAACAACAGCAACAAAAACAACATTAAATGAGAAATAAAACACCAAAGATTGTAAACGAATTTGATAAGATAACTGGGTCAGTGTTACCTTATTTTGCCTCTGATCAAGGTCTTTTTTATTTCAAATCTATTTTTATCGGTTTAGTCTTGTATTTTTTTGTTTATTTGTTTGTTGCAGAGGATCCTTTAGATACTTAAACTAAAGTCCAGCTGCCGTGCTCCAGCTGTACGCTTAATTATCATACGTGGACATTATGAATCGAAGAGGTAAATATATTAAGATAGTTTCCTTAATGAAACAGTGTTGAAAAAGAAATACGTCTTCATGTAAAAAAAATCCAACAAATAAAAGCAAAACAAAACAAAAAGAAACAAAAAAGAAACTTTTGTCAGGATTTGTGAGATGTATTACCTGTGGCGGCTTCTTCTTCTTTTTTGTCTTGTCAACAGCTGCGTACAAATATTCAGCGTTCCCGCCAGCCTGAGGTGTCTCGCTCCCTGCAGCCTCTGTGTTGTTGTCGAGCCCTGAGTCAGTTTGATGAGACGAACGATCCTCTGGTGTCAGAGACGGGGACTGATCTACACATGACGCCCATTGTACAGGTAAACCACTTGCTTCTTCCTGAGGGTGGCCCGCAGTCTTTTCGAGGGCGCTCACTCCAGAACTGGCTCTGCCTTTTCTTTCTTTATGAACAACAGCGTATACATGATCCTTATTTTCTTCTTTTTGATCGCACAAAGCAGGTGGCTGCTGTATTCCTTTCTCACCACTCACCAACACTGTGTTTTCTGGCGCTCTTTCCTGAATATCTGAACATCCCTCGCTTACTGAACTCAACTTTCGATTAGTCTCAATGTTATCATAGCCGCACTCTCTTTTGCAGTCGCTCACTGTTTCGTAGGTGGCCAGCCCAGATTCCGTTCGTGAAAGGGTTAGGTGAACAGTTAGCTCAGCGGAGCTCTGTGTTTGTTGAACAAGCACAGGGTCGAGTGATGTCAGTTCAGAGCTCGAAGGCTTCTCGTAGGTGCACATGACACGATCTTCGTCTAAACATCGTCTATGACGCAAGAAATTAGGCTTTACTGATATGTTAAAGAAATAAAAGCGCGCTGATTGCATTGTTGAGTTATATAGGCACTTGGGAATTTTTAAGGACACGAGATAAGTGCGGAGAAGCACGAGCCGCAGGCGAGTGCTTCTCTCACTTCTCGAGGAACAAGTTTTTTTTGGTTCTTTTATAATAATATACGTGAAAAAATTACTCAGTTCTGATTGGTTAAGATAAATGCAGTTTTCAAATAATTTAACGCAGAAGAGCGTTAATTCAGTGCAAAGATAATAACAACCAGACATTCTGATTGTTCAATAATCAAAGAAACTCACAGATAGCTAATCAAATGCGAGCCTTGGACGCCTTAACATTTGGCTACTCTGAAAATTTGCGAGCGAAACAATGGCCGGCGTTTGAAATAGGCCTTCTTTCAACATCGCAACAACAATACAACAGCCGGAAAACAACTCTAACAACGAAAACACTGTAAAAAGCATTGCTTTTTGGTTGTCGATTTGGAAAAAGTTGTGTTAAGATAAGGGAATTGCCAAGGCCGAAATGAAAATTACGAGCCGATCCAGCTTAACACTTTGCACGAGCGATTCTACGCCGAAATTAAAACAAACATGGTTAAACCTCGCAAACGACGATTTCATTCCATCGAAAGTGATTAGGACTCAGACTGAACAATTTCTTGAACTGTTTTGCCGGACTTTCAGCTGTTTTGTGCCTTATAGATGTGAAAATATCATTGAATATTACTGTTTTGGTCTTACGCCGTTGTTTTGACCGAATGCACAGGTTTGAATAAATTATTTTTGCACTTGATGCGCGCGCTTTGCTTCTTCGTAATTATGATAAGCTATCTCGTATTTTTTATATTTATATTATTAATACGTAATCACGTGATTTTTCTGGTGCAATTTGGAATACATAAGCGCTTGTTAATTTTTTCAAAGACCACAACTTGCACGAGCCCTACGGGCTCGTGCAATTTTGTTAGTCTTTGAAATAATTAATTCGTGCTTATGTATTCCAAATTGCACTCGAAATCATGTGATTACGTATTAATAATATATATATATATATATAAAATACGAAATAGCTTATCATAATTACGCAGAAGCAAAGCGCGCGCATCAAGTGCAAAAGTTTTTGTGATTACCTATATTAAAATTTATCATGGATTGCGCGCGCTCGTACCGATGACGTAGGCTGTGTGCATTATATCTCAACAGTGCAATTGTGTGACGTAAGGCGCGTGCTCTATGGAAATATAATGAACTCGTTCTGACCGATCACGGCGCGCGCATTTCTCTGAACATTTTATAATGTGCAGTAAATTGCTTATCAAA